CTGGTTGGATTCATGATATCCTTAATTTACTCACTAAATATTAACCATCGAGTTTGTTTAAGGCGTTAGATTCAGCAGTGATATCACCATCCGCTGTTATGATATGATCACTAATAATATGCACTAAAATTATGAACCTGCTATATGGACTAAATTAAAATATTCAAGAACAAAATCTGTAATTTTGTATTGTGCCATTTCATTGGTTGTACGGGGCAGAAAATTGCATAGCAAAGCCAAGTTTGAAATTTTAAGTACTGCTTGCATTTAGGAACCATTATGTAACCAATGAGAACCTGGTTGCAGAAAAATTGCAAGAAGGTGAAGATGATATATATAAGCGAATGTACTAAGGCTTTACAAAAATTAGAGATGATTTGGCTGAAGGGATGTCTAAGTGAGAGATGTATTTTTACATAGAAAAAGATTGAAAAAAAAGGATTTGACTGTTCAGAGAGTAGGAGCTCTCTCAGCAGAGCCAGCAATGACAGTGAGCAAGTTGTTGCCAAAAGGGTCACTGAGATGCTTGGCAAGGTTCTCAACAGGACCTTCTCCTGTTACGTAAGCTTGGAAGTAAAACCCTAACATTGCAAACATGGCCAACCTTCCATTCTTGATCTCCTTAACCTTCAGCAGTGCAGCCTGGTCCGGGTCGTTCGCAAGCCCCAACGGGTCAAATGGACCGCCCGGATGAAGCTTGTCCTCCAAATCCTGCCACCAATCAATTAATCAAATCATTCTCTTTTGCTGCTACAGGTTAACTCATTCCTAGTCTCACACTGGTCTTATCTGATATAAAATGGAATGTCCAGTTCATAGGCTGCTTTATGGGGTACTTAATTAGGCTGGTTACGTCATTTCAATAAGTAGCTTTCAAGGTAGAGATTCTTCAAGGACCTAATGTGTTTGGTTTCACATTGGAGACTATCAGAACCACGATTTTGGTAGAAGTACGTAGTTATACTTCTACCAAGATCATTACTTCCAACAAAACCATGGTTTTAGTGATTTTTTTTTTTGTGTGTGAAAACATACTCTCAATGTCACCTAAGAATAAGATAATGTTTTAGAAGACTTGTTATCTGAATCACCCATTTTGACAAGTTATTATAAACTCACAGTACAGCCAGATGCCTTTAAACTTTCTTGTTTCAGACTTTCAGTTTAGATGTTAGCTTTCATTGTGTAATATATTTATGGATGTAAGAATGATTGCTTAAGGTAAGTTGAGAACGGTACATACAAGGCCATTAATAATTCTGTAGTACTCTGCACCACCAACAAGAACAATCTCAGCAATGACAGCAGCAATAAGATTGATGGGGATGGGCTTTCCAAAGTAGTTCAATGTGTTCCCATCAAGAAGCAGAGCTCCAGTCTGTGATTGGTCACACACACAAAAGTGTCATCATCTCATTTCAGAACAATAAGAGCCACAAAAATTCAACAAAGGCCACTTGAAGAGTGACTACGCTGAAGTAGATATATTGCCAACAGTGAGTATAGAGAATAAGGGCTATACTCAAAACAATCAAATTCTGCAGTACAGCTTCAAGAAATTTGGCATCAACTCAAGATAATTAAAGTTTCTTTGCTCAGACTCAGAGATCCTAGAGGGCTTTTAATTGCCCTATGTATGAGGCAGATCTATTGAATTAGAGAGTTATAAAACTAAGAATTGTAGAATAACTTTGACACAGTGAGAGCAAGCAAACCTTGAACCAAACGGCCTCAGGACCACAGTTAGCCCCAAACTTGTTGAAGGCCTCAGGAATGATGAATCCAGCAGCACCAAGCATTGCCCATCTGGCGTGGATCAATTCATATGCCTGATATCTGCATTCAAAGATCAAGAATCACACAACGTTATAAATCAAGTAATGTAACACATAAATATATTCAGCAATTCTAACATGTGCTTGATTATGTATAGATTGCTAGTGTTTAACATACTTGGCGAAGTCCTCTGGCTTCTTGCTGAGACCAAACGGGTCATAACCATAGCTGCAAGCACACAGATTAACACAAATTAAGCAACGCAAGAACCAAAGTTTCACAATTAATTCAAAGATAAACCCATTTCCAGTTTGTTTCCTCAATTAAGTAACCATATCTCTCAATTGTCTGTTACACATTTCATCATGAAGCATCGTATCATTTGGAGTAACTAGAATGCCAGATGGAGTCAAAATATGATTTCTCATGACAAAAATGTTAATCAGACTATAACGTGATGAGTCACATAGAATGTAAGAAAAGGACTAGAGCTTTTACAAGGGAAGACACATACTCTCCGGGAACTTCTCCGTTCAAGTACTCTGGGATCTCAGATCGGTCCAAGAGACCCTCAGGCAAGAAGATCCTTCTGTCAGGACCTATATGCACCCCACGACATGCAAACACAAGTTAATTATCAAGTATAAGCCACTAGTTTCAAGCGAAAAGGAGAAGGAGCTGAAGACTCACCGTACCACTTGGCGAGCTCATCGTTGGCCGGAGCGACGGCGGCGGGCTTTGCCTTGGAAGGAGGAGGAGGGGCAGCCTTTTTCCTGGAGAAAAGAGCGACGGTCTTGAAAGTGGCAGGGCTAGAAGGTGATGGTGGCGGAGCCGACCTGGTGGCGCCATTGAAGGTAAGAGGGTTTCCGAGCATCTCAGAGACGACGAGGGATGCCATGGTCGGAAAGCCTCTGAGAGAATCTGGAAAGGTGAAGCTGAAGATGAAGAAGGAATGTGGAAGGCAGAGGGAGGAGCAGGTGATAATAGTATACGCATGGTTCTGGTGGATGTGGACGTGCCACGTAGGATTCAGGTTCGTGGGATCTGATTGGTTGTTGAACATGAGTAATCCAATGCAGGGATTTCATAGGTTGATGTCTGATACAACGAAGATGATGGTGATGACGTGGAATGCTTTCTCAAGAGGTGGATTCTTCAGGCGTGGATTTGGATAACATGTTTTATCTCATTGGTTTCTGTATCATTCATCCTCGTCGGTTTTGTTTTACCTATGAATTTAGGCAAATTTCTTCATCAGTTAATGCTTCTGTAAATTTCTTCCACGCAGGTGAAGCAATCTCCACCACAAACGCTGCTGGCCCACACTGTTGCCAAATGAGACCATTGATATCGTAAATTATTGGGTTTTAACTTTTAGAAAGATTCTTTTTTGGTTGTTTAGATTTAAAGCCGGAACGACGAACCGAGCCTGTCGGGCCAACCCGTGTAAGTCTATTTAAATCAAAGATAAGCTTATATTTTGAAACTTTAAAAGAAAAATTGCTTAAAAAGACCAGTCATGTAAGGTCAAAAATAAACGAGCCAATCCTATAAGGCGTAGGCTGGCCTGTTTAAACCCGCTAATATTTTTTTTAAAATTTCTATATTTTTTTCTTAACTTAAAAAAGAAAACCTTAACATTTTACACATAATACACTTTTAGTTTCACTCACACCAACAGCTCACACAGACAGAATTCATGAAAAAAAAAATAGAATTACTATAGTTGTTGGAAAAATAATCAAAAAAACATGAAAATTACAAAGTTTAAAACTAGGTATATTTAAAAAAAAGTATTGTTAATTATAAGTTGTCAAAACCTATTAAAATATTGTATGTGTAATTTTTACGGTTTTTATTTGTCATTCTCTCATATTTTTTATGCTTGAAATAGAATTAATTGAAGAATCTTTTGAATTAAAATAAAGATCTACATCATTTTTATAGTTAGAAACGAATTTAGAACTAGGGATGATCGATTCTTTTCTTTTTTGCTGATAGGACGAATAATTATTCTTTATGTATACTATGTTTGTTATTTAAACTTTTTTGTTAATTATTTATAATTAAACTAAATCATCCACATTGTAATTATTTACTGAACTTAGTGCTTATTTAGTTGTTTATGTCCGTTTTACATTTAGTTTGTTTATTCAATAGACTCTATTATACTGTGATAGATGTTTAGACATGATGATATTTATATTTATACCTTTTATTAGTAATTTTATTGTTTCATTGTTATTATTTTGATAAAATAAGCAAAAAAATAAATAATTGTATTTTAGTTAAACGGGCTAAAAACCCTGAGCCGGCCCAAACTCGTCATCTCATGAGCCAGGCTTGAAAAATTGTTTATTTCTAAAACTAAGGTTTAAACAGCCAAACTTGTGACGAGCCGACCTATTTTCCAGTATCATTTAGGTTCGCCATTTCAATTTGCTTGCGAATAAACATTCAAATTTGTTGCAAATATAAAAAAAAAATCACCTTTATTATTACTACTACAACTATCTCGTCTTTAGTATAAAAACTAATTTGATTTTTAATTTGATAATATTAGGATCCTCTTTGTCAAGATAGTCTTTATAATAGTTACACATGTTAAAAATTTCATTAAATATTTAAAGCTAATATACTTGATTAACAAGGATATTTTAGAAAAAAAAAAAAAACAGCATCTGTTTATTACAAATAACAAACTTAACAAATTTTCATAATCTACTCAAATTAACTAACCAACTCTTATATTAAAAAGAGTAAGTAGTATTAATTTACATTCAATTTTTTTAATCCGATAGAGATAATTTGCGCCTTTTTTGGTGTAAGATTGAAGGAAATAATCAATATATGAAACAGTTTTTTTTCCCTCCAACAAAGTCACAATTTTTATTCAAATCCTGAAAGCCAAGTCAATTAAAGAAGTTGTTATTTTATAATATCAATTGTTACTTTACGCTTATTAATCAATATTTTTTTAAAACTTCATTGCTTATTAATCAACAATATTCTAATAAACATAGGAGGGAGTGCATTAAGAAAACACTTATATAATTCGATTCACACATCCACCCTTTTTTTGGTTATTCCTATTGTAACAGACGAGGCCTTATTCAGCCTGTTCTCTAAAAATTTCTGATATAAATCAGAGACGACTTAAGAGAATTTGTTAAGTAGCACAACCACGGAGGACAGAGGACTACAGTTGAAGTGAGGCCAGATGATAACACAAAAGAACATTCATTATATATCTGAGCATCTCATCTACCATCATACCAGACTACACATGCTATATTGTAGTTGCTGTGAATTGACATTCCTTATATATTTGAGCATCTCATCTACTATCATACCAGACTACACATGCTATATTGTAGTTGCTGTGAATTGACATTCCTTATATATTTGAGCATCTCATCTACTATCATACCAGACTACACATGCTATATTGTAGTTGCTATGAATTGCTATATCACTAGTTTTAACAATTATACCTAAAACAAATCAGCAAATTCAATTCCATTCATCTTCTCCACTTCTCAATTTCTCTGGTTGTCGTTCTAATAAGCTTTTTGGTATTGATGACGAGTTCATCCACAAGTGCAGCAATATCGTCCCTGTCAACAGCCAGGAAAATATTTATAAACCACAAGAAAAAGGATGACGAGATGAAATTGAGACCAATGCCAGATCATTTCGTACACAGACAACTTCCACGGTATGAATCTGAGTGTACAGTGCAGGTATAACCTCTTGTTACCACTTTTTTTATTAATTGAAGTAATCCCAACAGTGGGACCAAGTTTCGTAGTCCTATGCAAATATTTTACCAGACCGTTCTAATATTTGAACTTTCAGCGTTTCTAATTCTCTCTCTTGGATGAGATGAAGAGCTGTAAGCAACATCAAGGTTCAACAGCATTTTTAGCCCCTTTAATTTGCTCAAACTTGAAAATAAGCGATCTTAGTTTTCATTGCAGCAGTTCCATCGTACTAGTTTTCAAGTTGGAGTAATTTAGATCCAGTGTGTTAACTTTCAATCAATACTATTTAAAAAGAAAATTTGTTGCATTGTTTTTCCTTAAACTATATATCCATTCATCTACTACTTCTCAACATATAAGTTCTTTCAAACAGATTGAATATCTTGCGCAGATGAATGGAGGACTTTTCTAGTTAATGTACCCACATCATATGTAAAACAAATTTTGGTAAACTGGAGGGACCGAAACTGGAATTAAGCCTAACACATTTTTAGAGTTCAGATCGTCCTATCTGCCTCATAATATGATGATATGGTCCCAACACTATGCTCCAATGAAATACTCATGTCCTTAAAGTAATGAATATTAACAGAAATGAGTACGTACATTTTTGGATAATAACGGAAATTAGATTAAAGAGCAGAAATCTTCTTATATGAACATTTTTCTGATTTTACGCATGACTATTTATCGGTTTTACCTTATCCACATCTTTCTTTAACTTTATAACAAGAAACGACACATCAAACCAAAGATTAGTTTTAGCTTTTATATAGGAAAACAAATGGAACGATTTATCCAAATAATTATTGGTAGTTAAATGGAGCAGACAAATACATAAAGTGCTTAACAAAATGACAGCATTTACATCAACAGAGGCGTAAAAGAGAAAATGTACTTACTGAGAAGGAATATTTCCTGAGTTACGGAACGGATTTCCAACATTTGAGTGCCTTTTGTTCTCATCTTGAGCAATTCCCCTCCCCACTCCATACCCAAACCCAAGTCCAACCCCACAGCCAGCACCAAATCCATAACCAATTTGCAATCCAGGTATTCCAGGACCAAGCCCCACCCCTGAAGTCAGAAACCCATTAAGCCTTGAGGGAGCTATAAAAAGGGTGAAGAATACATTCTAAAAAAAAAACAAAATCAGCAATATAAGCTCCATTTCCCTCATAGCATAAAATGCATGACGATGCCAATAAAAAGTTGCAGAACTATATAAGGTCATCAGCTAAAGTCACATGGAAAAGAGAATAGTATAAAAAGAAATATGAGAATGAGCACAATTCTTCTCACTTAAGCTATTAGCGATACATTATCCCCAAGCCTCAATTGGGATTAACTCTCATTAGAAAAAAGTTCTCAAAGATTTATAGGAAAGCCAAAAAAAGCAAATCTTGCTCTGAACTTCAACGAAGTTAAACAGTTAGGGAAAGCTTCAAATGACAAAACTCCTCAGGAATGCTTGTCAAAGTCTTGATTAGATCATGAATTCAAACTGTATCCATCACCCAGAAGCCAAACAATTCAAAAATTGCCCAAAACCAGCACAAGGTTTATTTCTAAATGGTGAAATAGAGATGCACAATAATACCAAATCAATAATACATCATAATTAAAAAAAGTATCGTTTGAAAGTGTTCTGCACGGCTTTTGAACTTTGCCATCCAGTCCCATTTAGGCCTGGTGAGCCCAAAATAAGTTGAACATAAAAGGAATAACACTAAACCCATATAAAGAAAAATAAGAATGCCATAAGACGCCGCAACAAATTACCATGTAGAGCTATTCAGCATTGAGGTGCATCCACTCAATTATTCAATATATCAAAGCTTATAAGAGATTACAATTACAAGTCCTAACAGTCATTCCATATTTCTGTTGAAAGCAATAACCTTAGTACCAGCATGACAAATTAATGAAGACCAAAGTAGTATGAGATTCCTAGTCCTACATTGAATACTATGGATTGCTTTGTGAGATAATTAAGTGGATTGGTTCTTCCACCTTAAAATTTAGAAGCTTCTCCACCCACTTTGATGCTCATTAATGACATCAGAATTGTACCAGACTTCAATCACTAATGTTAAGTTCATCCTTTTTGCCCCAGCTCATCATCCAGACTTCAATCTCTCAGCAGTGGCCCCGTCCTCTGTATCCATTTTTTACATGATCATAACACCAGCCCTCTCCTAATTTCAGCTTTTCAACCGGTAAGCATTGGCCTCAATCCCTCTTTTCTCTCTGGTGCGTGGACGAATGGCACATAAATTATTAGGAAAATGAAACTTCTTTTCAAAAAAACCAATTAGATATGTCACTAAATGTTATGCAGCCCAGAAAGCTACTCCAGCCATCTTTGTGATTTCCAGGACAACATTTGAGTAAAACTAAGGCAGCAGAGCAGCTAACAAGTTACAAAATAAATATTGATATGTACATTCCTCAGGTCTTTCAGCTTCCTACACCGCTCAAACAACTGAACAAGTGCGACGAAAAGGGAACAATTAAGAACATTTCCGACAATTAATCAATTGAAGAAAAACAAAAATTGCATGATAAAATGAGATGACATGCAAAAGCGCTTTCAAAAGCCATGAATCTCTCCAAGACAGGAACAACGGCAGAAATAGACACTCATCAGGTGAATCAATTCATATACAGAATAAACAGATATTCAACCACTCGGAACTTAAAGAAAGGAGCCAACTTCGCGTAAATCATCTCACTAACAGCAGGCGAGTGAAAACCTTAACGGCAACCGATGAATTGAACTTCGCAACTCAAAATTGGTTCATAGAAGGGGTGATGGGATGTAGATATCAAGGAAAATAGTAAAGAAAGTGACCGATCAATCCGCAACGAGTATGGACTAAAAATGAAACCTGAATTGAAGAAAAATAAGAAAATGTACCTCCGAGAAGGCCAACTCCGACGCCGAAGCCACAACCGACGCCAACTCCAAAAGCAGGTCCCACCTTGCCGAGATTCCTGGACTTAACCACCGGAAGTTTCCACAGCAAACCCTTCTCCTCACTGTCGTCTCTGCCGTTCATCTTTACTCAGCCAAAGGAGAGTCAGGGTTTCGCCAAAGAAGGAACAAGGAGCAAGCAACAGTATCAGCTCCCCGCAACCAGCGATCTGCACAAGAAAATTTCGTAACCTTGAAAATCTAAAACAAAGATTTAAATGTTTTTTAAGCTTAAATGTATTGTTGAATGGAAAAATTAATATGCGATGTCCATAATTTGTCTTAACTCTTACGTATGTCCCTAGAGTTTGAATATTTGCAAGCTTTTTTTTGGTTGACCAGAATAGAATATTTGCAAGCTTCTCCATATATTCTTCAATGATGACATAATTAGTCCTCAAAATCGCTCATTTAATTAATCCGTGCCTCTTTGGATAGCTCAAAAAACTACTTATGGAAGCTTAAAATTTATCCAGGTAACTTTGGCCAAAAAATTTATCCAAATACCTTTGGCCAAAAAAATTTATCCAAATTACTTTGGCCAAAAAAATTTATCCAAATACCTATATTTTGATTAAATCAAGACTTTTAACCATGTTGTCTCATAAATAATTTTCGCACGCTTTGGATTCCTCTCATAGTCGACTATGAAAGATAAAAAAGCATGTTTTTTTTTTTAAATTATGCAAAAAATTTTATACATATCAAAATTAGATACGAACCCAAAACCAAAAATTTCTATTCAAAGTCAATATGTTGGAGGGAACAAAGGGCGAAGCAAGTTTTCAAACTTCATAATTATTCCATACTTGGCAGAATTTGAAAGTGGTCATGAGAAAGCAATTATTATGTTTAATGTATTTGTTTGGAGGGCTTTAACCTTACTCGATGGAGATTAGTTTTAAATCCAAAATAGTTTGAGGATATTCTGAGTTATATCCAAAAAAAAGGAAGCAATTTGTTCATAGTCATCATCATGGTAAAGATACTACCTTCAGGTTTTAATATAAGATTTAATTGAAATTAAAAAAATTAGTTAAATTAGTTATTTATAATAAATATGTGTTGCTTTTTTTTAGAATACTCTTGCTAATTATATGTATTAGCTAAAACTACTATTTAATGGAATATTTAACATATATCACTATTATAAGGACTAATTTGAAAAAAGTAGATAAATATAAAAGACAGAGTAGATTGAGATCTTATATTTAGGATTAAATTAAAAGTCTAATTAGCTCTTCTATTATCGATTGAAGGTAGTAAAACGCAAGATGCAATGCCTATATCAAGGTTTCAAGAATGCACAAGTAGATTATAACCATGAGAACGAACTCCTAGTGATGAGAGCTAAAAGAGAGGAGGATGAGGAGGCTACCATGAATCTTTACATATATGGCTTGCATTCAGAAATCAGAAATGAGGTGAAGATGCAGGACTTTGTAGATAAAGAATGAAAAGAAAGATGGCTACGTGAATGAAGACAAAGAGAAGAAGAAAAAGGACGCGCAGTGATGATTGAAGTGGGGCCGTCGTAAAGTTGAAAAGAAAATGAATCACAGTTGAATATTAGAGTATAACCCTTTGTCTAATCAGATATTAATTAACCAATTAAACACTAACTTGTATTAACACAGTTGATGTTGTTGAAAAGATGGAAAAGGATGATTGGCTTGAGGTGAGACTAATGTTATTGGCGTGAGATATGAGTAATATTTATTAGCGATGCAGTTCATAAGATTCAGCAGGATCTTTTATCTTGTGATAGATAGGTGAAAGAAATACAAGAGAACGCGTCTGGTGCAGAAAGGCTGGTGGAGGAAAAGTAGGAATAATGGGAGTGAAATGTTTTAGCACAGTGACGACTTCAGGTTTTTCCTGTCAAATGAAAAAAATTTAGGTGAGTTTAAGATTTGATTATGCCCCCAAAAAATACGATCCACTAACAAAGTCCTCATACAGGACTTGAACCAATGAATATATGGATTATGGGTCAAATCCTTACTAATTGGATAATTAAGTTTTTACTTTTGACTATATCAATCAATTAAAAAACTAAAACCAACCAGGGCCTTTTAAAATAGTAACTCTATTCTTACAATTATGGTCCCCAAGCAGTGTATGAAGGACATTAATCAGTATTCCTTCAGTCCTAAGTATAAGACTTTAATTTCCACCCAACATCTGCGTCTACCAACTTGTTCCTCAAACAGTGTGTTACTCTTCCGGTCCTAAATATAAGACCTACTTTGTAATGCAAATTATGTCTTATATTTAGGTCCGGAAGAGTAATACACTGTTTGAGGAACAAGTTGGCAGACGCAGATGTTGGGTGGAAATTAAGGTTGGCAAGTGGCAACCCTTGCGCTGGACCATGGTTTTGTGGGGTGTTGTTGTCTGACCTTGACTTTCTCCTTTTCTGCCTATCTTTTCTTCTCTGTTTTCTTCTTCTCATAGCTTCGAGACAAAAGCACAGCGAAGAGTTCTTGTTGATATTTCACCTCAAAATATAACATTCTTGGTTTTATCCAATGCAGAGAAATAGAATAAAAAACAAGTTTCAGCATCAAACTAAAAATGATAAAATATATGGTCACTTAAACCAGATAAAACTATTGAGTTATTGACCTTCGTATGATTCAATACTGAAGGATTACTCTATAAATATTATCACTGTTCTAGAATTAATGATGAGTTGTGAGTCCAAGTGCACGACAGCGTACGGATAATTATTCCGCAAGTAGAAGCCATCTTTTCTGACCAATCCATGTGGTCAAAGAGCAATAAATATGACAAAGAGATAAGACCTACACATTTTCATGCCCCCCAAAAAAGAAATGCTAAGATCAGATCGACAAGGACACATGAATTGCCTATATAAGAGACACTTCGCATTCTGGTTTAAGCAGAGCAGAAGCATTACCTGGTGTTCAAATGGCTTCTTCAAGCTTCCATTTCTTCCTCTTCCTCTTCTCATTAGCCACTTTCTCAGTTTCCCCTTGCTTTTCACTTTCAGATCAATCTCATCCTTTCAATCTTCCCATTAAGAAAGATCAATCAACCAATCTCTACTATGCTTCAGTTGGCATAGGAACTCCTCAACACAACATGAACCTAGTGATTGATCTTTCAGGACCAACCTTGTGGTATGACTGTAACGAGCACTACAACTCGTCATCCTTCCGTCCTATTCCTTGTGAGTCACAAAAATGTCCCCAAACTGGAGGATGTGTTGGTTGCTCGGGCCCCTTTAGACCAGGTTGCTCAAACAACACTTGTGGCCTTAACATAATCAACATTTTGGGCAGATTTATCTACAGCGGCAGCTTAGGTGATGATGTCTTGGACATGCCCCATCTTCGAGTGCCTCACTTCCTTTCCGGTTGCTCTCCCTCAGATTCTTCCTCATCATCTGAATTTAATGCGCTGGAAGGCTTGCCTAGAGGCACTTCTGGGATCATAGGTCTTGCAAGGACTGAGTTATCAGTACCTGCACAACTCTCATCAGCTTATAAGAAACCTCTCAAGTTTTCTCTGTGTTTGCCCTCTGCAACCAACAAAGGATTTGCTGATATGCTTATTGGTGATAGAGAAGTGTCCAAGTTTCTCCAAACTACCCCGCTTGTTGTCAACCCTGTTGCAACTGGTCCGGTATCTGTAAGTGGTGTACCTTCTTATGAATACTTCATTGATGTGAAATCAATCAGGATTGATGGTAATGTGGTGAACTTAAAGCCGTCATTGTTGTCTATTGACAAAAAGGGAAATGGAGGTACCAAAATAAGTACTATGAGTCCTTTTGCTGAGTTGCACAACTCAGTTTACAAGCCCTTTTTGAGACAATTCATCAAACAGGCTGCAGACAGAAAGTTGAAGAGAGTGGCTTCAGTACCACCATTTGAGGCATGCTATGATTCAAACACCATTACTAGATCTGGTGTGCCAAGTATTGATTTGGAACTACAAGGAGGAGTGAAATGGACTATCCATAGGACCAATTCAATGGTAATGACTCAGAAAAATGTGGAGTGTTTGGGATTTGTTGATGGAGGAACAAAGCCAAGAATGTCATTTGTGAAAGCTTCAATTGTAATTGGTGGCCATCAACTGGAAGATAATCTGGTGGTGTTTGATTTGAATTCCTCAAAACTGAGCTTTAGCTCCTCCCTTCTTCTCCACAACACAAGCTGTTCTCGCTTTTAACGCATTCAAGTTTGAGATTCATCATCCATGGTTCTATGGATCATGAAGCAGAAGAATAATCCTCTGAATTAAAGAATGCAGTTTTACCTTTGAGTTCTCTGTCATTTGAAATTTTATATTGTGTTACAACTCAAATAGAAATTGAAACTCAAACCGTGTTTGTTTTCTCTCTGATTCAACTATTACTTAGGACCTTGTAATTTTTTTGTTTTGTTTTTTTGGTATGAGAGGACCTTGTAATTTTTAATGAAAGAAAAATGGACCTTGTAATAAGAACTATGTAACATTAGGCCCATGTAATAAATAAACACCAAGCCCAATAAAAACACATCTTAGGCCCAATAAATTTTCTTCACGGTTTACTACTTTACTTCGCACAAATTATTGTTCTCAATTAATTGAAAATTTAAAAATGAATTTAATAACTTTCAGTGTAATAACTTTAGAAAATAAATTAAAAAATTACTATCATCAAAATAATTCAAAATAATAAAACTATGAGGTAACACAGTGTTCTTACTTATCAATTTTTGAAACATCTGCATTGTCAACTAGTTTTTATATTTAAGATTGGAAGTAGTATTAAAAAACGTGGACATCAACTGATAAGGAAGACTGTGCTAATTTAACCAAAGCCTCATGTTCAAAATTTGAAGATGCAACTGTGTTAACTCCTCACCTCAATTCGAATTAGCTGGAATATCAAAGAAAATTCATGCGTAAAAAGCCAATTAATTACGACAGATTATTTAAAAAAATGTCAACATATAGTTGTAGCTCATTATGTTTTGAGTAAATAATGATTCCAATGCCCGTTGCTCCACACAATAGTAAGTGCAAAGGATGCTTATAGTTACTGGGATTTTCTGAAATGTCATAGATGACAATGTTTAGGGGGTGTTTGGATAGAAATCAAATCATAATTTTAAAAGTGATTTTACGGTATACGAAGTAAATATATGGAGGAGTTTATCTCGATTTGCGGAAAAGTGTTTTTAAAAAGCACTTCTCCTAGTTCTTAGACACCTCCTTAGTATCAGTTGCAAACCATACTTTGGTTTGAGACTCCCTTGTTGATTTTGTATCATAAGATAGATGTTGCAGGATGTGTTTTTCTTGATTTGTTTTTTTTGCTGTTAATTTTTTATTTTGTTGGCTATTGCATTATCTATTTTTTACACGTTTCAGATGTTCTGGGTCAGTCTTTTTTTCCTTTGATTTATTTGGGCTTTGCTCAAATTGACACAATGTGTTTGGTCCTTTTTTTTTTAAATATAAAATTATCATTTCATCAAAAAAATAATGAAGTGAGAAAAGGGTTGAGGTTTGATTAAAAATTACTTAAAATAAATATAAAATGTGCCAATATCTTTATCCAAAACGAAAGTTTTCTTTAATTTTTTCAATGGAAGAAATTATGATTAGATTAGATTTTATATCCATAATGTCATTTTCAGGCTAGGTATTATGCGCCTTTAATTTACAGAGTTGAAATTGAAAGGCTTGGATGAACACCAATCAATTTGTTCTTGTCACCAATCATATTCTCATCCATATCATGGTTCCAACATTCGATGGTTTCACTTCCAGAACCAGATCAATGAAATATATATATATTTATTTATTTATATTTAAATAGGCTAGTTTATGTTTTTAATTTGTGCCACATAACGTGGGATTATTTTTTCCACAAAAGGAAAAATCTTATTTCAAACGATACTCATCTCAATTACACCCAAAAAAAAAAAATGATAGGCTGATAAAAAATAAAGCAAAAAAAAAAGTTTGATACTACCTCCAGTTATTAATATAAAAGCTTGTTTAATTTTTATTTTGATCTTAAATATAAGACCCCAATCTATTTTGTCTCTTATATTTATCTATTTTTTTCCTAAGATAATTTTTTTAATGATAGTAATTCTAGCCAATACATTTAACTACCAAGGATATTTTCAGAAACACAATATTTATTTATTACAAATAACTAACTTAACTAGTTTTCTTAATCTACTTAAATTAGTCAACTAGCTCTTATATTAAGGACCGGAGGTAGTATAGACATTTGTCACTAGAATTATAGGCTCCCTTTATCCTAAATAAATGAGCTAGTCAATTGAGAAATTTGTTTTGATCCTAAACATAAAACATCAATATGTTTTATTTTTTGAATTCATAATTTTTCTCTTAACGATGATAATTAGGCATGTTAAACGAATTTTTCATCAATGAATTCAATACAAATATTAAATGGGATTTATTTATTTATTTTAGTTATGATCAGAGTGAGCAGTATACACTATGTGACTCTTGGACTCTTGGTTTAGATTTATCACCAGATGAATGAAACATAGGAAAAAGTTGGACCTGGAAGCATATATACTTTGTGCATCAGTCAAATTTTGGTGAAATTCTTGGATTCTGGCTTATCTTAACTCTTCTTATTGACCTTGACAAATACCTGATTTTGACACTTGAATTATCTGATTACATATAATAATATTTCACCTTATCAGAATCAGTGGCTTGATTAATGGGACAAATTTATAAGTACCAAAACGAAAATGGTAAAGAGAAGAAAATGTTGATTTAATTCTATATTTTTATGAGATGACCAAATTGTTTTGTTTATTTATTTGAAATTATAGTAGTCATTGTTCCCATAGTGTCATACTACTTCCGATCTTTAATATAAGACCTTGTTTTATTTTTATTTTGGTCCTAAATATAAAATCCCAATTCACTTTATCTCTCATATTTATGCATTTTTTTCTCAAAATAGTCCCTCTAATAATAGTAGTTTTAGCCAATACACTTGATTAGTAAGGATATTTGAGCAAAGACAACACTTATTTATTACAAATGACTAACTTAACTTATTTTTTTAATTTCATCAAATTAGTCAATCAGCTCTTATAATTAGGACTGGAGATATTACTCAGTTTATCTTTAACTCAATTAGTTCTTATTTCAATAGAGCTGATGAATTTGTTCTCATGCAACTATTTTTTTCTTTTCAAAATTTATTTGTGTGTTGTGCCTCTATGTCACATCACACTACATTAAATTTCAAGTTAATTTTTTCCTAAAGAACAGCTCAACAGAAATTTCCCTACGCAAGCTTATAATGTTGGGTTTGTATATTATGTAATAAATTATACAGCAGCACTTTTCTGGCACAAAAAAAAAAAAAAAAAGAGAAGAAATTATAGCACTATGGTGCATTCGAATAATAGAGCCTGAAATACGTTGCACTGTTACGGTTTATTTAAAACTTTATTATAATATCGTTTCAAATTAAAAGATTTTTTTGGGGAAAATTTTTTATCTGTTTCATGATAGATTTTAGTCATAAATCAAGGGGCATTATTATAATGTTACTATTTTTTAAAAGAAAATTAAAATACTAAACTACTCTTCACTATTTTTAATTAGTGTTTAAACATTAGTTTAAACATTTTGTAATTTAAAATAGAGGGAGAGTATATCAATGGCAAATTACTAAAAAAATCTCCCATTGCAAAATTTATTAACCAAAGGCACCAGAAATTTATTTTCAGGACATATGTGTAACTTAAGTTTAGTGGATGCATTTTTTTGTTTGTTTTATGTAATGTATCTTTAATTATGTGCAAAATAAAAAACATTTACACATTATTAAAGATAGGCAGCACAGAAATGAAGACGATTTAGTGATGTGAAACTTTTTTAATAGTTTTCTATATATTAATATTGATGACATACATTTTTGTGACAGATATCAACTCTAAATTTTCGTGTGATATGAAACATTGAGAATGAGCTGATTAAGAAAACTCATTAAAAAAGCATTAGTACGAGGGGTTATTTATTACTTAGAATTTGACAAATCCATGTAGGTGGGATTAGAAAATATCACATTTTTCCCGAAATTTCTTATTTCTCTTTACATGGATTTGTCCAATCCGAAATAATAAACAATATTTTATTACCTCTCGTTCTAAATATAAGAGATAATTGATTAATTTGAATAGATTAAAGAAATAAGTTGAGTTAGTTATTTGTAATAAATATGTGTTATCTTTACTAAAATATCATTACTAATCAAGTTTCTTTGTTATAACTTAGAAGGACTATCTTTAAAAAAAAAAAGAATAAATACGAGGGACAAAATGGATTTGAGTCTCGTATTTAGAATCAAAATAAAACTCAAACAAGGTTTTATATTAAGAATCAGAGGTAGTACATTAATTAACAGGCTTTCTTAATACCAATAATTTAAATTCTTACTTTTATTTTTAATACTTCATAACAAACGGATATAATGTTATTAATGGGAGAGACATTAGCTAATATTGAGATGAGGGGAGCTATAACACATCACTTGGGGTTGGGAGAATGGTATTCAATTGGCAGCCGCCAACAGCATATAGAATGGTTATGATTGGACAATTTGCAATTAATTAATGTCATTTCTTCATTGTAATGATAATGAATATCTTGTAAGTTATGTAGGGTTCATCCCCACTCAAAATTCTCCACTTTTCTTGTGTTTTAATATAATTTAATTGTCATTAATATTTAATTAATTAAGTAGGCAGTGGTGTAGTGTTCTACCACTTTGATTCTGCTCCTCCTATCCCTAATTAACACCAGTCTCACCCCCCTTCCATCTATCAAACTCTCCCAAAATCAATTTATTTGATTACTTTTCTGAGTTATTCATAGTGTTTTTAGCCTCGCAATAGGGCACAAACACTTAGATTGGTCTTGGATTAAAATATACTTCTTCCTATCCTATATAATTAACAACGTTTTTTAATACAGGGATGATCATATATAAACGATATTTTTTTATTTAAAAATTTAATATACTTTTTTATTTTTACCCCTAATTAATTAGATGTTTCTCTCATATCTTTTTTCTACTTATTCTCTTTTATCTTTTTTTTTTCACTTATTCTTTCTTGCATCATCATCTTCATAAATAAGGATAATATTTAAAAAATTGCATTTCTGACACATTTATTGATTTTAACCTATATTTTGACTCATGTGATTTGATTAGTTGTTGCTCATATATAGGAGGGGAGGGAATTTAGCAGCATGAAATTAGTTTAATAATTAAATGGCAAGGGTAGGATTAGTTTAATAATTAAATGGTAAGGGTAGGATAGGATGCTTGCAGAGGCGCATATACAAGCTCTTTTTATGATCTAATAATTAAAAATATGCATGCAGTTCAATACTATTTGTTAGTTAAATTGATTTTAATTAGATTAAATATTTTAATTTTATATACATTATTGAAATGCCAAAAAGATCATTATTGATATTTTACATTTAAATAGGTTAATATTAATAATGGCAATTAACTAAAAAATACGTTGGCAAAAAAAATTAACTCAAAAATAGTTCGCACCAATTAAATGCATAGTTTTATCATTGAGAAATACTTTACTTAAACAACAGTTGTATGACATTGCAATATAACAATAAAAAAGGTTTTTACTCAATAAATAACATCAGTTTGTGTCAATAATACAAATATTGAACAACTTGAGTCAATAATTAGTTTGATTTTTTTTTTTGACGTACTCCCTCTGGTCTTTATTATAAAAATTTACCAACTGATTCACATGTATTATTAAAACTAGTTAAAAGCATTAAATTTGTCATAAAATTCAAGTAATTTTTAATGTTATTTTTTTTGGTGAAATATATTATCCTTATTAATCACACTAAATTTCAACATTATATTAATTTTTATTCTCTCACTAACCTTATTAAATATGAGCATATAAGAAAAAGTCATTTAATACTTATTAAAACTATTGAAGGTTCTTTTAAAAGAACCAATAATTTCTTCTAGAAGGACTCCTATAATAAGAATAAGATGGAGTATAAGTTATGGATTATTTTTCACCAATCCCAAAAATAACTGCTAATGTAGAGATTTCATGCCGATTAAGGCATTGGCTCACTGATCCCTCAATTGATTGAGTTGGTTCACTTTAATTTGGAAAACTAAGATATTATATTCTAGTCCATTTCATTTTATATACCAAATGCATCCCATCAAAATTAGAACACATGAAATAACAATGAGTGACAAATTTAATCGGGCTTTTCCAATAATAACAGACAATTCAGCATTTGATACTATCAACTAATTCAAATTCAAGTAAATATAAGATATACTACGAAAAAGCTCTCCTTATATGATTAGTCTTGCCATCACAAGTTTCAAACTCCATAACCTTTTTTAATTTCTTTCACAAAAAATATCAATAAAATGATACTTTCAATTTGAAAAACCTCAAAAAGTCGCTTGAATAAAAAAAAATTTCATTTCAGTCACACATGATTAAATAGAAATTTTGAAATTTGTTAAAATAATGATATTGCCCTTATGTCATTTGTGCTTATTCTCTAAACATATTTTGAAAACATGTTAATTGCGTTACCAAACTTATTAATAGTGTTACGTAATTTGTTAATCATGTTATAGATATTGAAAAATTCTCAATTCGTTAGACACTCAAAAAAATTTTAAAGTCAAAATACCTCTCAACTTATGTGGTGATAGTGTTATTAAAGTTATTAACCATGTTAATGAAATTTGAAAAAAAAAAACCCCATTTTCACAATTTTCTAAAAAATAGGGTGGTAATTATGATACCAAACTTGTTAATACCATTATATGATTTATCAATCATGTTACAGAATTTAAAAAATTTTCAATTTCTTAAGTACCTAGAAATTTCTCAAAGTCAAAATACCTCTTAGATCACGTGGTGAATAGCATTTATTACAGTTGTTAATATTATTACATGAGTTGTTAACTATATTAACAAAGTTGGAAAAATTCTAGTTTCACAATTTTTTGGAACATAGGTTGATAATTGTATCATCAAATTTGTTAATATTATTATATGACTTGTCATATAACGCAATTACATGAAAATGGAATTTTTTCAACTTCATTAAGGCGGTTAACGATTCTTGTAATGATATTTATAACTCTAATAATGCTACTCATCACGTGATTCGAGAGGTATTTTGACTTTGAGAGATTTCTAACTACTTAATAAATTGAAAATTTTTCAATTTTTGTAGCATAGTTGACAAGTGATATAACAATATTAACAAATTTGGTAATAGAATTAGCAACCTATTTTCTAGGAAATTGTGAAAGTGCATTGTTTTCAATTACGGCAACACATTTAACAACTTTAATAACACTATTTACCAAGTGATCTGAGAGGTGTTTTGACTTTGAAAGATTTTTGAATGTCTAATGAATTGGAAAATTTTCAACTTCTATAATATGGTTAACAAGTCATATAATGTTGTTAACAAATTTAATAAAGCAATTAACATGTTTTTAAAATATTTTCATAGAATAAGCACTAACCACATGCATGAAAGCAATATAATCATTTCAAAAAATTTCAAAATTCCTATTTTTAGGTTTTTCAAATTAAAGTATCATTTTATTATATTTTATCTTTCTTTTATTACTTTCTGTTCTAAATATAAGAGCTAATAGTTTGTAGTGTAATTTACTGTTAATTTAAATTCACGCACAAACCTATTGATACCGTGTTAAAACTTGAGATTTCATCCAAATGTGGTGACCCAATAGCATTGTTACCGGGGCAGTTTGTTGTGGACCAAACTCCATAACTTATTTAAAAGGTGTTATATCACTCAAACCAATCACCATTCACACACTAGCCACTCTAGGTGAATTTTGGCAAGTGAGTCCCGTAGTAACAAGAGACATTAGCCATTTGACTTTTTTTCTGAATAAAATAATTCTTCTGACCAAACCAAAATAGTCATGGGCAGAAACATATGGGATTATTGGTAGAATAGAATATACATATGGCAATAAGAATCTCCTTTTTCTTCTGTTAATATCTGTATGTGCGTATGTGAGTGCCAGTGCACGGGTGGGCCTTGAACTTCCCCACCATAAACAAAAAATAAGCAAGCTTCGCCATCTCTCTCTATATATACACATATGGAGAACCTGTGGATGAGAAAAAAGAAACCTTTTCCAAAGTCAATATATCTTTTATGTCTGTGATGTTGCTCAATGGCTAGAGAGAGAAGAGAGAAGAGAGAGAGAGACCTTAAGATGCCCTCAAAAGAATCATATTCTTGCAGAACCAGGTTCTCTCCCACCCCTCCACCACCATCCTTCACTTTTCCCCCCTCGTTGACTCTCTTCACAATAATTACATCAAATTATTTGCTTTCTCTCACACCTATGTGGAGTACTCATCAAACCCTTCTAACCCAAGTTTCATTTAATGTGTCACATGTTTGTGTACTATATATCCGATCTGATCTTTCTTGATCTTTTGACTTTATCAGAAATAGTGATATCTGCTATGTATTGTAGCTTTGATTTTGATTATCCACTCACCGTTTTACATCAATCTCTTCATTATCATGTTGGGGTCACCACTAATCCCATCATGATTAAACCAAATGAAAGGATTATTACCTAGACAGTAAGGTTTGGCATTTTCTGTGTTGTTATCATTACATTCTGTCACTTCAGGAATACAAGAAAAGAAAGGGCTTTTTGATTATCCTCTCGTTGACTTGAAACATATATAGATAATAGCCTATCTTTTTCTTTTTCTCAATAGAAAAAAAAAAAAAAAGTGTTGTGTATTCAGACTGCTAAACAATCCACCAATAACAATTTTATATGGGTGAACATTCTTGTCCTTATTGTAATCTTTCCCCCTGTAAAATACAAGAGATTTGATTCTGCTTTTGCCCTCTACTTCATCAATCTCTCTCTCTCTCTCTCTACCCACCTTTATATTTGTGTACTTGTACAGCTTATTATTATCTCTACCCAGAAAAATTCCTGAGAGAGAATAATGGGTGTGGACATACAGGGAAAGCTTCGTCTTGCTCTTGGGTCTGTTAAGGACCATGCCTCCATTGGAAAGGCTTTGATCATGTATCACCATCAACAAGACGGCTTCTCCAGCATAGAGATCGCAGTTTTGCGAGCCACAGGTCATGATAATGGCACCATTGATGACAAATACATGCATGAGATTCTCTTCCTTGTCTCAAACTCTCCAGGTTCAATCCCTTTTCTAGCCGAGAAAATCTCTCGCCGCCTTAACAAGACCAAGGACCGCCTTGTCGCCCTCAAGACCCTCGTCCTTATCCACCGTCTTCTTCGTGGAGGTAACCGGAGCTTCGAGCAAGAACTATGCAAAGCCCATGTCTCAGGCCATCTGCAAATAAGCGCGAGGTGTTTCACAAAGAACGGCTCATCACCGTCATCATCATCAGACCATCCCTGTGTTTGTTTTCTGCATAAATATGCTTCTTATCTTGAAGAGAGGATGAAGTGGCTGATAAACCAAGCAGGGAAGCTAGAACCGATTATGTCAAAAGGATTAGAATTTAGGAGATACGATGAGAAATCCATTGATATGGTATTTAGAACGTTGCCAAAGTGTCAGGTTCTGATTGATAAGGTATTGGACTGTTCTCCAGTTGGTGATGTTTTAGCTTATGATAGCTTGGCTCAAACTGCTATGAGCAATACTTTAAGAGAAAGCTTCCAAGTTTACAAAACTTTCAGTGAAGGCGTTTCAGCTCTTGTGAACATGTTCTTTGATTTAACAGCTTCAGCAAGAGGCTTGGCATGTGAGATACTCAAGAAAGCTTCCATACAGAGCGAGAGGCTTCATGAATTGTACCAGAACTGCAAGAAGATAGTGGAAAACAAGAACCTGGAATACCCCCGTGTTCATATTATCAGTATGGATCATATAATGGCAGTAGATCGATGCTTAAGAGGAGGAGGAAGTAGCATATCAAAGCCTCCACTTGCTCCTATTTTGGACCATTTGAGAAGATCAACTGAGTTGGAAATGGCAGTAACAACAGAAAAAGCAACAAGGAAGAAGAAAGTTCATAAAGAAGACAAGATTGATATAAACCTGTCATCAACCCTCTTCTCTTGGACAGTACTAGAGACCAAGATAAGCAAGGTCTGGGTTGTGTTTGAAGATGAACCTCCCAATAATAATGAATCATCACCACAAGTGCTTGAAGCTGCTCAGTCAAAATTTGGGGATATAATGAAGAGTGAGTATAGTTCTAGTTCTTGTGTGTTGCTAAACCCATTTTGATCATCTGGTATTGATAGAAAAGGTACAAAACATGCCTGATCATATCAAGTAACTAGCTACGTTGATGAGTTGTTTCATTTAGATATATAGTTTTGGTGAGGTTATGACATATACTGTTAATTGTTTTCTTTGTTGTATAAGTTTTGAGCAAAGTACTGTTCTTGATATATATATATATATCTGTGATTGATGGAGAAACTGCTGCTTCAAATGGTGTACTGTATGAACAATAATAACAAGATTACGAAGTTTTACCTGATAACAGGAATGGAAAGGACAAAACAGAACAAAGAAAGGGGAAGACTAATGTTTCAGTCCCTATAGTTGATGTTAATTACTACAAATCACTCCTTCAAGAAATCTAATTGTTAGCACGTTTGCCCCTGTAGTTTCAAGTCGTCTAAGAATTCGTCCATGGAAGATCCAGCAAAACAAACGAGGTAAATCATTAACCACACTTGTCCTTTTCTTGTGGGTTTTCAATGACGCATCAGGAAATTATATAACCTCATCAATGTGTGTGTGTGTGTGTCACATTTCTTCTAGCAACCATATGAGAACTTTCGTTTCCATGGCTATCTTTTGCTGCAAACACAACCATATTGGCATAATTATGAGCAGAAGAGATTTTACCATCTGAGAATTGGTTAAACAAGAGAGATAGAAATAAAGGACGAACAGAGTGTTGTCAGGTCATCGTCATTATTCATTTGCTTCTTCTTTTAGGCAAGGCCAATAAGAAGAGGACGAGATAGAGTTTCTGGGGTCGCTCTGTTCCTCTTATTTTCATTGGTTGAGATCAAAGCTAGGTTTTTAGCTTTACAGATCAGCTTCCAATTCCAACCTTACCCACCTTATGAATATGACCAACGAAGCCGGAAACTGTAGAAGAGTTCTTCAGATAACCACCATGGCCGGAGGTTACCGGAATTTTTCTTTCATGATATGATCATCCAGCTGATGAATGCCATGCATGACTTCACGTCTTCCACATCAGCAAACATTGACGCCGTCTTGCCGTGATCTATCAAGCTCGACAATGAATTTTCGAACGGCTTTCAAGATTGGGGACTAACACCTGGACGGGAAAGAAAGGGTGATGAGAGATCATTGATGCGGTTCAAAAAACTTGAGGGACTAAATTACAAATCAAGAGTTCAATTGGACAAAAAAAAACAGATGAAAGTAAAAATGAGATAAGCTTGATTTTTGGGTTAAAATTTAAAAATGATTTTGGTGGATAGAAAGAAATCATAAAAAGATAATACTATTGTTTTTTTTTGTGACAAGATAATACCATCTTTAATTCCCGATATTTGTTGGCAAAAAAATTTCTGAAATTTAATTTTAGTTTAATTTAGTTCTAAAATTTGAAATAAATAATTCTAGTTTTCAAAACTACGTTTTGAGGTAAAAAAAAACATTTTTTGGGAACCAAAAATCATTACAAGGATCAAAATAGGATCAAATTTTGAATCAAAATCACTAGTTTCATATTTTAAGGATTGAAATCAAAATGATAAGGTCAAAATTGAGGAACTAGGTATTATATTAACCAAATCATAAATTTTTGATCTTTTATTAAAAGTTTAGTACTCCTCCAATCTTTAATATAGAAGTTAATTAGAGAGTTAATGTTTGTTCTATATATGAGACTTATTTCATATATTTTTTAATATTTTTTTTCTAAATCAACTTTATTTTCCCAACAATAATCAAGTAGAATAGAGAAGAAGGGAATTAAAGATACTTAAAATATTTTTAAAAAAATATATCATATTAACTAATTTAATCAACATATCTAATATACTTAAATTAGTTAATTAGATGACTGGAAGAGTATAAAACAATTAAGAAACGAAACAAAGGAATCAAGGTGGTTAAATAATATGAATACTTCTAATTAAACTATCCAAGTTGAATTTTAAAAATTACAGTCATTATTTTAATATAAAATAATAAGCTAACATTTTTAAGGGAAATAAAAGTTTAATTTTTACGTAAAAAATTCAAATACATTGAAGGATTTTTTAAAAGGAAACAAAATGGTTAAAATGTCTTATGAGTCGGCGCAAAATTGATTATACATTTTTAACTCATATAAAACCGATCTCGAATTTAAGTTCATATAAATGTTAAAAATATTTTTGCAAAAAATTATTTTTAATCATATCCAGTAATATTTGAATTTGCTATATAGTAGTATCAAATATGAGATATATTCCTCTTTTTATGAGATGTACATAAGTTGTCCCTGGCAAAAAGTAGAGGATGTATTTTATACATGTGTGTGTATTTTATGTATAAGTTCTTGGGAACCGTTCATCAATGACAAACATGACTTTAATTATAATCAGATAATTATATCAAAATACAAAATGCATGGTTTAACGGGGTCGAGGTAGAGCCGGTCAAAAAAGAAAAACAGTTAGGGCGTAGGGAATAAAATAACAAAACTTAATATCGTCTCTTTTTTCAAAAGAAAAAAAAAAGATAAGTATCCAAGGATTGTAGATTTTATAATTTTGATGGAGAGTAATTTTAGAAATTATAGTTGTTCTTCTAGAACAAAATTATTAAATTTTAGACTAAAATATACTAACTACCCTTTTATTTTACTTAAATTACAGAAATCTCTTTTATGTTTTAAAAATGTATATAAATCTCCCTTAAAAGTAAACTGTTGGCAGGAATGGTTTTTTGAAGAGTATAAGAAAAAGAGATGAAAAAGAAAGTGGTGCATGACGTCTTTAAGGCGTGGGCAGTATTTTCCTTTAGGCTTAATTCACTCCCACTTAATCCTATCTTTTAGGGTGCAAGTTGGGTTGACTAGTGAATTTTCTTCAGGATACAATGAAGACTCTTGAATATGGATTGTACTTCCCAAATTCAAGTAAAGACAATAATGGCTTTTACAAAGTGATAATTTGACTCTATCTCTGTGTGTAGACAAAGGCAATGAGTTTGATTTTAGTGTTTGTGTTGTGTTGTCTCCAAATGAAGTGATGGTGGAGAGTTTATATAGACCATGGAATGATACCTTGAAGAGATATGTTTTTGAATAAAAACTTATTAAATAAAACGTCACAACCATACGTTGGTTCATGAACCAACATAATTCAAATAAGTACAATAAATTTAATATGTAGGTTCATTTAATGTTTTAACTTCCTACATAACCTTTCATATAAATATATTAATTTATTTATATGAAGACATAACCTCTCATATAAATTTATTAATCTAATAAATTTATATAAGGACATGACTTTTCAAAAAACACATCTCTTCATTTTAAAAATATTCCAACATAAACTTTGTATATTTTACGTTCTATTGCCATACATTAATAGACGGTTAAGTTTGATTTCTAAATTTTTTAACTAAAATATTCTGCCTTAACATAAAAATTCTTTAAACATTTATATTTGTCAAAAAAAAAATTGTTGATACAAAAAAAATCATTTTAATACATGTATTTTCAAATTTTTTAATCTATAATAGAATTTATTGATTTTGATTATATTATAAAATTTATAGTTTTAATTTTTCATCACAAATATAGAAACTTATTTATTTAGGTTTCCGTTAAATGGTTACAAAATATATTAAATATATATTTTCCCCATCATATAATATAAATTATCTATGAGAGATTGTAAAAATTATTTAAATTCATAATTTAAAATTTTTAGATAAAAATTTTGCTAGAAATATTTATAACTTATTTAGGAAATTATATATTTATTTAAAAAATTCATTAAATTTTCATTTAAGTTTTTTATGTCTACATTAACTAAATTATTTAATTTTCTATCTCAAAGCAAAACAAAAAATTTTAAATTCTTCAAAACTTTTTAAACCAAAATTTAAGGATTTAGTATCATGAAGGGTAAATTAGTAAATAAAAATAATTTTAATATAAATTTTAATTAAAAAATTATTTTTTTAAGAATATTCTTACCGGACAGTTTAGGCTTAAGTATATGTTTTCAAAATATAAAGAAGGTCCGTATAATTAGAGCAAACTATAAAGAAGATCAAAATATTTTACTCTGAATTTTAAGACTCATTATTACGGTTTGGGGGGAAAAGACAGAAAGACTTGTTACTTTTTTGGGGATAAAATAGCTAAAGAAAGTATGATTAACTGTGATCATTATTGACGCGGTATGAATTTAAACCATTTTACAGTCAACTGCAATTTCTGCTGACCCAATTTCATTATTCAAGGGTAAATTTCATCCCTTTCTTGTTTACAGGGGGAAAAAAAGTTCATCCTTTTATATCTTTTTTTTTTTTAATATACATAAAAGTTTAGTGAGTTGGCTCTCAATGATTGGCCAAGGCCATACTATGCCTCAAATATCAAAGAGTGCTTTTAAAAGTATTAGGTACTTATAGATTGTCTACTAATCATATCTTCACATTAGCAACGAGATTTAAACTCACAACTTTATAGATTGTGAGTTGATTTTTTATCAACTAAACTAACTTTTATTGACATTCTTTTTTATCAACTAGATTAACTCTTGTTGGCATTCTTTTATCTTTCATCATAAACAGGAAAGCAAATTGGTTTAGTGGGCTTTAATGGCAGATGGACCTACAAAGTGGGCCAGAAGAGGAGTACGGGCCCAATAGTCTAATTTAAGCAAAATTGGCAATGAAGTAAAACAAATTAATTTACAGTTTACAATGCTTCAAAAAGGATTAAAAAAATTAAAAATACAAATTAGTCAACTAAAGCAGATTGTGGCTTCAGAAGCATACTAGTAAGATATGCTAGTGCAGTGCATTTTTGAATTGCATATGAATTGTCATTCATATAGATGTATTTATAAATACAACTTCCTAAGATTCGTGATAATATAAAGGCACTCAAGCCTGCATCTTAATCTTAAGATAATACTCTTCTGGTGTTTAATATAGGACATAATTATTAAGTTAATTTTGGTTCTAAATATAAGACTTATTTATTATATTTATCAATTTTTTCTAAATAATCCATATGAATACTCCCTCAACCATAAGCAATCATGTAGAAGAGGGAGAGAGGATATTAATAAAGATGACTATGGTGTTTGAGGAAAAACATGTCATATTTCTTATAATTAACTAACTTATCTAACTTTTTAAATCTAATCAAATTAGTTAAGTAGATCTTCCAGGACCGAAAGAGTACATTTAGAATGAAAGTAGTGATCACGCGGATACTAATTATGATGGCATAAATGTCTTTCATTAAAATGACAGGGATAGAAAGAACATTCGTCAGTCAACACTTCAAAAACTGGTTAAAACTCATCGCTCCATTAGTTCAATCATGATTCTTGTGATCCACCATATGCTTCATTATAAATAAAAGAGGTTAAGAGAATATAAATATTTCTAATTAAAATATCTAGGTTGAATTTTTAAAATTATAGACATTATTTTGATATTAAATAAAAGAATAACATTTTTAAGAGAAATAAAATTTTAATATTTATGTAATGTAATATACTTACTTTTGAAAATTCAAATTTGGTTAAAGGTGAGGTACACTTTTTTTTTATTATGGGAAAGCACCTTTTTTAACCCATATAAAGGAGATCTAGAATTTAAATTTATGCCAATGTTAAAGACAGCTCTAAAAAAATTATTTCGGACACTTCTCAAAAAATCACGTCCAATGGTAGCAAACAATTAGTTGGGGATTTATATGTGGGGCAAAAATTAAGGTAAGTAGATCAAATTTTACAATCATACTTATTATTTTGTTACTGTTAGTTGCTAAAATACAATAAATTTATCTATAAATACTTATAATTTGTGTATCAAAACTCTTATATTGTAAATTATGATTTGTAAATTTTCATTTACACATTTATTAGTTTGTTATTTTAGTTGTTAAAATACTTATGTGTAACTATAAATTCACATATAAAATATAGACACTTGTTATTTTGTTATTGTTAATTATTAAAATGCGCACGTGCAATTATAAATTTACTTATGAAATATGAACACTTGTTATTTTGTTATACATGTAAATTCACCTATGAACTTAATCTAATAAATATAAGCAACTTCTCATGTTTTATCCTTATATTTAATAGTAGTAATTTATCCAAAAAACACTTTTAAAAAGTTCTTTCATGCAAGTCAAAATGAAATTATTTTTACATACTTATTTATATGTCATAAAATTACTTTTAAAACTATAGTTTGGTTTCCAATCAAAACCTACCAAGATCTTTTAAATTTTGACTATCAACTCTCCTACAATTAAATTATAATAAAAAACAACAATAAATGTTAGTCCAGTTAGTAAAGAGTTTATTTATAATTCATAAAGTTACGAGTCCAAATCCATAAAGACTTTATTAAAAGGTAATTTGTAAATATCTCCGTAAATGCTGACTTTCCTTCATATATGGTCATATAGCCTTTTTTTTTTTCCCTCCTTAGGTGTTGTTCCACTTGTAGTTATATGGCTTCTATCTACTTGGAAGCAATTAGCATACGACACAAGATAAGAAGTTCCAGTCATGTATATTCTGAAATATGTACATAGGAAAAACAAGAGAACACATCAGTTTCCAACTTAAAATACTTCAATTTGAAGGTCTTGTGTAACTATATGACAGAGATTTCCAATTGAAACCCAAATTTACCCAAGTATCAAGCTAAAGGGGGCCACAATTATAGCGGGTATGACCAAGCATGTCATGAAAGAAGACCATTAATAGCATCAAACACAGGTAGTGAACTATAACAGATGATGGTTCCAAAAGCATGCCAGTAAGATATGTTTGCGTAGACAACTTCACCAATCTCATTCTCCGCTGCTTCACATAAGTTTGCAGTGGTGCTTGAACTTTGTTGCGTGTCAGGTGTTGTGCTAAGCACCTAGCAAGAACAATTGCATCTTCTATTGCAGCTGAGGCACCTTGTCCAAGGAATGGAGCCCATAAATGCATGGCATCGCCGGCTACAGTCACTGTGCCTGTTGTGAATCTCCCAAACAGGATATCCCATGGAGCATGATATTTCAATCTTGTGAGAATCAACGATCCAATGTCACATTTCCTTATCATTTCCACAACTTCCTCTGGAAAATTCCCAGTTGATTCCAATGCAGATTCTCTAATCATCTCTGGATCTTTCGAGATATCTGAATCTGTTCCCAGACATAATACAAGGGAATCTTAAATAAAACTGGAAGTTTCGGCGATATTTAAAAATACAATCCTCAGGGCATTGAGATATCAGTTTTATTATTTTATGAAATTTCAAAAAACAGAACACTTCTTTTTTATCTGAATTCTGAGCATCACGAAAAGCAATATCATTGTGTTCGGAGACATGAAAAGCAACTGATGTGTATTTGGCCAAAAAAGAAGAAAAGCAACTGATGTGTAGAGAAATATTGTGTCCGTAACTGACCTTGGGGTGTCCACTTTCGTCCCACAAACCAGTAAACAACTTTATCATCTACTGGAATTCGGCCAACAGAAATGCTTCCTCTCCTCATCCGAATAGACTCACTTTCCAGACCATGGCCATGAGGATAATTTGTGAAACCAAGTATCGAGCATGAGGATAAATATTGGGCAGGTTTTAATCCAAGAAACTTGGACACAACGGAGTTTGCTCCATCACATCCTATCACAAACTGTCAACAATTCAGTCTGATCCTTGCCACACAAAAAGAAAATAAATAAAACAAGATATTTTATCTCTATGTGCATCATTTACAGGACTACATGAGAAGGATCCAAGAGACTTTCACTTCATGGCCAGTCATCCACTAACTTGGAATGTTACCTTAGCTTTAATGGAATTACCATCACGAAAATGAAGTATAGGAAAAGCAGTAAGAGGATCTGATTTTATGGTCACTACTTGGCATCCAAAGTATGATATGCTAGCAGGAAGCTCCTGGACTAGAGTTTCAATTAGGACACTCCGTTTTAAGCACCGCAGTTCTTCACTCCTACAAAGGAAAAAGCACAACAATATGGAAATTTCACTTGCTTCTAGCTCTAGTCTTTTCACATTAGCAGTACTAAATTTTAGTAGCTTTTTCCAATACTACAAATGTAATCCCACTGAAGTAATTCCAGCAAGAAGAATTGCACGACTAATCACAGGATTCATTGACTTACAGACTCATAAAGATAAGATAATTTATGACATGAGTCATTTACAAGTAACTCTACAAGATACCGGTCATCATGTGCAGATAGTTATATATATGCACTGAAAACTCTATAATAGAGTTTACCAATTGACCAAAACATAAGAACCAGAAGAAACCCACAAAATATTAAGACCTCCCCTTACACCTAGAAACAAAACATTGAGTAAGAATTTACCTGAGTGGTATCTTTTGGCTGGAACCATCATCCAAAGATAGTTCATGCAGCCTGGGTAATAGAAAAGAAAAGGAGGGAGGAAGAGAGAAGATTAAAAGCAGAGCAAACGGAAACAAATTAACAAGTGAGACAGGGTTCGGGATGCTTGTACGGCATTTCTGTCTGTCAACATGACAGAGATTTTTCCCTAATAGATGCGTCTTACAATCTGGATGCATAAATTTTAAATTTTCAAACCAGTGAATAAATTTGGGAACTCCTCTTCAGCTCCTAGGGTCTTTCATATTGGACATGCAAGAGATAAAATTTAACTGGATTTCTACTTAAAAAAAGCACAGTTGGCTCTTAAAAAAAATTTCTAGGCATTTAAATCCGCTGCTATCAGTAAATATTTGGGAATCTTCAAAGGGCATTATCCCATCTTCATTTTGAATTCTATTGCAACTAGATAAGGAGCAGTAAGTATAAACCGAGCTCAACCCAGTGATTGGAATTGCAGTAGATCGCAGCTTAGATGCAACACCCAGCTGATCAAGAGCTCGCCAACCATTCGTGAAGATGGTAATTGCTGACCCTACTGCTCGAGTTGTCTCTGATTTCTCAAAAACCAGAGCATTAATACCCTTCCTGCGAAACTAGTTACAATTCACGTCACCAACATTCAATTCACACAAATTGATTAATCAGGAAGAATTTGAACTGGATGTTCCATGAATCAAAGATAAAGTTTGAGAGTGATAATTTACCTATGAAGAGCAAGAGCGGTGGCAAGGCCACAAATTCCTCCACCCACTATTGCTATGTCTGTATCTTCTTGTTGCCGCATGGGATGGAGTTCAACATTTTCTATGAATTTTTCTTTGGATATGGTTCTCCTATTCATTGCTCTGCGATCTTTGGGGCTTTTCTGCTCAATCCCTCACCGGGACGATGCAAGTCTGATAGTGATAGGTCATCAGTCGTCATTACTCGCTTGTCATCGTCATTCATTTGATTTCACATGCATAAAATATCAAAATTACAAACATGCAAATGGCCTGTGCGAGTGACACGTGTCTTACCCAAATGAATGAGCTGCACTGATTTTATATGAATACGTACTATATATATATATATATATATATATATCTCTCTCTTCGTAGTGTAATGATTTCATTGCACGTATTAAATGATATTTGAAATCATATAATCTATAAGTCCATTTCTATATATTTGTATATTCATTTCCATCCTTTTCAAAAGCTCAATTAATTACTTTCTATTCGTCTGTGTTTCGGCTGACCTCGTGCTCAGCCAAAAAAAACTTGACTTATTCAAGGTTTCGCTATTTGTTTTCTTTCCATAGGAGCCGAATAGGCCTACTGCTGCAGCTTATTCTCAGCATGTTTTATATAGATTCCATTAAAAGTTAACAAACTTTTAATTTTGATCCTATTTAATATATATACCTTCAAAAAAATATAACTATTTGCATTATAATAAATAAAGAACAAAATAGTATGTTTATATTAAAAATTTAATAAAACAACTTATAAATAGGATAAAAAAAACTTTTCTTTACATTATAAATAAGATCAGAAGAAAAGAGTATTTCTCTTATATTCATGTTTGGATCCAGATATTTGGGCTTCCTTAAGATTCGCTCTGGCTGTCTTGTTTCATTGGCTAGTTTGGTCACTCGTGAAAAAAAAACAAAAAGCCGGCACTTGAGTGTGACTACTGGAATCAAGTTATTGGGCCTAGTTCGGCCCAAATGACTGACATGTGACGGATTAGGCTTCTTGTTTGGGCCGCTAGTCACAAGTCGGACTCACCTTTTTATATTCTAATGGGCTCTGCCTTCCGAGATGAATCTCAGAAGCACTAGTTTAACTGAACTGTCAGCAGAAACTAAAAAAGTGTTTAGATGGAAATCAAACTGTGGTTTCAAAAGTGATTTTACAGTATACGAAATAAATATATGAAGGAGTTTATCTTAATTTATGAAAAAATACTTTTTAGAAGTACTTCTCATGCCATCCAAACACCTCATAAATTATAATTTTAAAAGTGATTTTACGTTCCAGTGATAATTCGACTTCTCATAATGCCTTGTGTTTGCACCATGGGTTGGATTACGGATATAATGAGACCAGCCCAATTTTATGTTTATCTTTTTAATAATTTAATATTTTAAATTTGAAGGATGAAAACCATCCCTGGATAATCCAAATTTCAGCGTAGCAATAAGCGGCTCATCACTAGTAAAGTTAGCAGGACCGTGGTCTTCTCCGCTTTACTACCCAGCACGTAAGCTGAGGAAGGTGTTGGAGAATTCTAGGATCCTCTTTGTCTTGAACTTTCTTTCTCTCTCTACACTAATCTCCCACTCTGTTCCGTTCCCTCTATATAATCATCACAATCATGCCCTTGTTGTCATCTCATATCCGACACGAATCCGAGTACAACCAGCTTCGCTGTAATCTATTCTCCAAAATGAGGCAGCAAGCCACCGTGTTATTGATGCCATTTCTGTTGCTGATTCTACTTCTCACAGCAGGTTTCGCAAATGGGTCTCTGCTACCATTCACAGATGGTCCAGAGAATTTCTGGGTCGATCGCTTCCCGGACCCATTTCGTGTGCTGGAGCAAATCCCATTTGGGATCGACAAAAGCGAAGCGTCCATGGCTGTGTCTCCGGCGAGAGTGGACTGGAAAGAGACGCCGGACAGTCACGTGATAATGATGGACGTGCCGGGGATGAAGAAGGAGGAGATCAAGATAGAAGTGGAGGAAAACAGGGTTCTGCGAGTGAGTGGCGAGAGGAAGAAGGAGGAAGAAGAGAAGAAAGGAGAGCACTGGCACAGAGTTGAACGATCTTATGGCAAATTCTGGAGGCGGTTCAGGATGCCACAGAACGTGGACTTGGATTCTGTTCAGGCTAAGCTGCAAAACGGGGTGCTTACTTTGAAACTCAACAAGCTGTCACCTGATAAGATTAAAGGCCCAAAGGTTGTGAGCATTGATGAGGCCAAGCAGGAGCTGTGAGTTAGTGCACCTTTCTTAATGACAATTGATGGTACTGAAACAGGGCTATGAATCGTCTTGTGTGGAATAAAACCTTTGGTTGTTCTGATGTACTACTGGGTTTACTGAGTTAAGAGCTTAGATTATGAGTGTGTCCAGTGATGTACAGGCTAATCCAAATCTCCTGTTGAATATAGAGGTGCTTCTCATAATACAGAATTCGGGAGTCCTTCTCCTCTACTCGTGTTTAGTGAAAATGCTATACACTGGATACTTTTAAAGTATTCTTATACTCCGAAATATAAGATTATTATACTACTCCTCCGGTCCTAATTATAAGACCCAATTGACTTATTTGAGGAGATTAAGGAAGTAAGTTAAGTTGGTTATTTATAATAAATAAGTGTTGTCATTCCTAAAATATCCTTGCTAATTAAGTATACTGGCTAAAACTATCATTATTAGAAGGATTATCTTGGAAAAAAATGCATAAATATAAGAGACAAAATGGATTGGGTCTTATAATTAGGACCAAATAAAAAGTCAAATTGGGTCTTATAATAAGAACCGGAGGAGTAGTACATATAGATATTTTATATTTAGAACGGGGTATATATGTACACACACAGATACATATATGCGCACTGCTAAAGATATCACTCCTTAGGTATACGCAGCGTCTTTTTATTTATTTATTTAAAATCACTTTTTTCTCTTTATTCATCAATAACTTGAGCTCCTTTTTATAGAATTGTGCAGTTATCGCTTACTACTTTGCATGTGCTCTTCACTTGCCCATTTTGTTTTTTTCCCCTTTCTATGCACTTGATAGGTTTTTTCGCCTAGGTTCTCTGTTTAGATCTCAGTCAGTCCATATCCGTATTCAAATTCATATATCAATCGATCCAAATTCAAAGTAGATTGAACTTGAGGACGTCAGTGCTGGAAGCCGAGAATATTGGCCCAACATCTGATGGCCTGTTTACTTGCCGGGGTCAGAGCCCAAAGAATGCTGATTTTCATTCCTCTCGTTGGTACTGCCGTTTGGATGGACAAGGCCTCACTTCGTAAATCATCCTTGCAAATGAAGACTTTTGCCTTTGTTGAGCACTTGCATTTCCCTTTCTCAAGGGAATTCACGTGTAATAACCTACTAATTCTCAGCATACACGTGTCTCGTAAATGCTCATTTGTGCTTTCATAACAAATTATAGTCAGCAATAAAGAAAACATAAAGTCAAAATTTTATAGCCGAGTGGCATTAACAATCCATTGTAACTAGGAGGGTTTGGATCCTCTCAGAATTTTTCTTTCTCCTTTTCTTCTCAGTACCTGATCTTTACCATTAGATGATTCAAATTTCATGCTTTATAAAACTATTATTATAACATTACATAAATAGGAGAGAGAAATTATATATCTGCTTTTTAAAATATTAAATCTGAATCATCTATTATTTAATCCAATAGTGGAGATGAGATTCTTTGAAGAAAAAGAGAAAGAGAGAGGCCAAACCCGTAACTAGGAAGTTACACATTCTATCTCCTACTTGTAATATCAAGCCATTGGTGCTTATTCTTTTAATTAAAAAAATAAACATAAAAAAATTAAATACAGACAAATAAAGCACTCAACTCAAAGGCATCTCAAATCCTATCATTATTGATAAACTGCTAGCTTCCTAAAAAAATTAGAGACCTCACATCAAATACTCACTTTCCTTGTCATTCCCTGGACTCTGCTTTCCCAACCTCTACTTCATGCCACCATTTCATCTCATATTTCTTTTTCAATATCCATCATGCCAAGTACTTGAAAAGAGAAGGGGGAAAGATTACCTATGTCAATTCCTCCTATTTCCTTCAAATGTTACCGAAGTAGAAAAGCATCACAGAATTCCCTACTATTCTTGTTCTCTCTCTAAGGATTCAAACTTTTCTGATGTAACCTAGAACAAAAAATCATGATTTTGCTCATGAGCCTAGAGACATTCCACAAACCGAGAAAACCTCATAAAAAGGAGCCATTGTGCTCGTAATAAGTTTTAACCATAGCGGATGGAGAGTCTATAAATATAAAGTCAATAAAAATGCATGAGCATATATTCACCGAATGACTTTATGCGGCATGAATCTCTACTTGGAGAGTGCAACTGATAACACTCCAACAAATGCGCCACAATTAACATTCAGTCACACACCATGTATGGCAAATTTTTTTAAAAGAAAATCCTCTTTTTCTAAAGCAAATTAATTCCAATTCTTGAATAATTGACATCACTCATGCTTCTAATACCCCAATTGCCAAATGAGGGTAAATGGGTATTTGTATAAAATAGTGTATTTCCGAACATATATGATCCACTAAAAAGATAGATCACACAATTTACACTATCGGATGATGAAATTAAAATCAGATGCAATAATAACACCAATAGCAGCAGCAAAACCTTATCTCACTATGTGGGGTTGACTTACATGGATCGCATGGCACCATTATGCTCTATTAGTGATCAAGTATTTGAGTCGATTGTTAACCAAAATTAAAATCACATAATATTACAAAAAAGAATCTATCTTCAAGAAACTTAATCTTCCTTTGGAAAGGGGGAAACCAAGTGTGAAAATACACATGGTGGGAATTGGCACGATCCATTAGATTAATCTTGCAAAATGGGGCCAATCAAGCATGATAAAGAGGAAAATGGAATCAACTTGCAATTGACTGTTATTAATCTATATTGAGAGCTAAAAAGTAGTACAACTTCGCATAGAGGCTGGGAAACGCGTCAATTTCTGAAGGCTACAAAAAAATGATGTGAAAATTGGGAGAAGAACCTATAAAACAGAAGGGAAAGATAGCTTGCAGCCAGACCTCTAGACCTCTATGTACATAAGTTCCACCAGAAACAAGTGTTCCCCCGGAAAATGTAATAGCAGTTTGCACGAGGCAATAAATCAGTTTTTGATGGCGCATGACCTGGAGTTCCAACTTCTCATGGTCTTCAATTCGCAAGATATGCAATGTTACTAGGGATCGTCCTTCCACAGTTCTCCAGAAGAATGACAGTCCTGAATCTGATTCCCTCCAACAGTCAAAAAGCTCTTGCCAATACCCCCTTCTATTTGTCCTCTTCCAAAGGTCCAATTTCGTTAACACCTTTATCATTTTTCTCCCTCTCATTTCCAAATTTTCCTGTGTCATTTATCATTTCCTCATCATTAGGTCTTTTAATGTCATCATTTGTTGTTTCTTTTATAGGACTACCTTCCTCGCCTACAATTTCTTCCTCTTCTACAGCTTTTATAACTTCAAGAAGTTCAGATGGAGTAGCAGCTGGGTCTAACTCCCAACAACCCCTTACGATATCTGGTGTTTCTTTACCCCTGTGTAAGTATGAAGGGACCTGATGAGAGAACCGAAACATCTCTTCTCTTGGAATGATCCTAATTTCTCCTGGGTCCAAGTGCCGGCGAAATAATGTCTTGAAGCCAGCCACTTTTACTAGGGGAATGACCATAACACCATTTTCTTCACTAAAATCCTCAAGTACCTCAACCATATCATACTTGTGTATCACCTCATCTGCTGTCAGCTCATTCCAATCAGGTGACCAATTCCTATAAAGAGCCCAAACATCCCCTTTCATGGGATAAATACAAATGGCTCCATGAGCACCCTTTCTCCATCTAACCTTATGAGAAAAAGAATTAAGTGAGTTATTGATTTCATTTCTACCCATTCTAAACTCTCCGCAAGTTTTAGAAAAGCCTGAAATGATCCAATTTAGAGGGGCCAGTTCATCATTGGTCTTTGAATTGAGCCAACTGATCTGCATCTTTAATGGACTCGAAGAAATCACACTGTGAATCATAGCATAAATTCGAGGCATCCCATCATCATCATATGCAACCCATACCTGATTTTCACCAAAAGACCTATCAGTTCGATCCTGATCAAAATCATGAAAATCAGGATCAGGGATATCAATTGTCATGGTTTTCATGTCCACATTAGCACTAGTAGTTCCAGCAGAAATCTCAGTGGCATGGAATTCACTATTCCTATTGTTAGAATTGCAGAGGTTGTTTTGATCACATCTCTCTGAGCTACATATAACTTTTTCTCCTTTCTCATTTTCTGTCTCACTTCCATTTCTACTCTCTGTCATTGCTCTCTTGGAAATAGTATTTGACTGAATATCCTTCAGTTTCTCGCCAATCTCTTTTCTAGCTCTCACCATAAGAAGATTATTAAGCTCAAGCTCGGAAGTTCCTGCACCACTGGTCTTCAAGCTACCATTAATTGAGAAGCGATCAAAATTACCAGGTTTAGAACCACATGAGCTACCTGCTCCTACTACTCCATTTCTCATTCCTGCTTGATTTGAAGGTTCCTTACCATGGCTGCTCGCACCAGAATCCTCCATGCCTCTTCTTCTCTTCGTAGGATTCATATTACCTTTTTTAGAAGCATGCTGCTTCCTTCGTAAGGCCTGTTCCCTTTTTGTAGCTGCTTGTGCCTCCTCACGCTCCCGCTTCACTTTCTCATATGCCTGTTGGACCACACTTGCAGCTTGAGCTGCTGTTGAAACACCAGAAGTTTTCGAAAATGGAGCCCACTGGAAATCAGTATGGTTATAGGAATCAGTATTACCATAACCTGCTCCAACATTCGAGGTTGGCTTGTTCTTTCCTGCTTTAGACTTGCTTTTACTAGGCGCTGGGTTATTGAAATTTTGCTGCTGCCGGGAAAAGTTAAATGAGGTGGCGGGTCTTACACCACTTGCAGGTGGAGGAGATGTTTCTACAGCCAAAAATGCCCCATGACAATTGGGACACAGGAGTTTCAAATTAAGATAAACTCTAAGATATTCATACTGCATTTTGCATCGATTGCAAACAGTCCAGAAAGTATTTGATTTTGATTTGTGAGTTGAAGTTGAATCTGGTTTAGTAGTATGTTTATGAGCTCTGGCACTAGAAGTGGTAGTTTTTGCAAAATTGAAATTCCCATTAGTCCCTTGATGTGCTGATGCACCAGAAGACTTTGTCGAAACCTTCTGCACTTTTGTGTTTCTCTTCTGATCATATGCTACCTTTTTAGCCTTATCTGACAGCAAACTCCACGCCTCCGAAATAAACTTAAATGCCCCATCAGCCCCAATAGACTTGTTCTTATCAGGGTGGAGTGTGAGAGCCAGCTTCCTATATTGTTTCCGGATTGTTTCGTCATCAGCCCGAGGATCTGCACCGAGTATACCATACCAATCTGCTTCGCCATTTATTTTATTGTCTGCAGAAATATACACATCAAGTGTAGCTAGCATTTGAGAAATACCCTCAAGCTCAGGAAACAATGTTTGGGCCTTTAAAGCAAACTTCTTTGCCCCCCGCATATCCTTTGCAACAAACTTCCTCTCGGCAATTTCTTTAGCTCTGGTGGCCTCATCCTTATTGCATTCCATTTTTCTAGACAGTCTTCCAGTCTATATCAGTGCTTCATTTCCATGTAACAGGAACATTGTCTAATTGATCCAAGTTTTGCAACCTGGTACTATTCAACATAATCAGATTTCCTCCTTATTCAAAAGTTTGCCCATTGTAACATAACCCTATATGAAGAGAGAGAGAAAATATGTTAGCCATGAAAATAATGAAAGAAGCATCAAGCAAAATTCAAATTGTTCATAAATTGAATTCAATCAAAATGAAAGTGATAAAATAGTTTGCAATAATGTTCCTAAACAATATGAGTACATTTGGGCATTGAGATTAATTATTGAAGGTAACAAAAGAAAGGAATTGAGAAATGAATGACCATTCTCATTTTAGTGTTCAGTTCCAAGAGGGATAAAATGGCGTTACATTCTATCCCATTTTGTTTATACGTTTAACATGCAGAATTTCGATATCACAAAATCATAACTGTAACTGAGCAAGACTAAATAAGGATTATATAAAACAAAATTAAGGATCGTGGTTCTCTAAATATTTAATTTCCCTTAATCTAAACTAAATAAGCCTCATCGGCCCATACCTGTGACTAAACGACAATAAATAAGGATATAAACAAAAACTTTAAGTATCATGATCCTCTAAATATTTAAATTCACTTAATTGGGACTTTCCAACCAAGTAAAACTGATATCTACCATCAATTCATGCCATGTCATAATTTTGCAAGTTCCTTCTTGCCCTTTTTTCCTTCTTTGCACAGACTATAAACTCATCTATTACTGGGCAATCAGATCCACACACACACACACATATATTGGGGTAATGTTTTTAATAAATGCTAAGACCACTCCCCACAGACCATCTTTCTTGGGGCTTTGAGTTTTGGCGAAGTACTTTCCTCAATTATGTCTCATCTTCATAAATTAAGTGCCACCGATTAGCAAAAGTTCCAAATGCACTAGACAATGGCATATACATAGCAAGGAAGATTTTAGGAATGATTGCCCAAACACTTGCAGCAAAATTGAAGCTGGACCCATTCATGCATTTTCAAGGATTAGGATTTTTCAAGCACACCAGAGAAGCCCTTGAATTTAGTAAAAATAAAAGTTAATAAAGGAGACTATAAACAGACTCAAACGCTTGCCATGTTCAGGACAATGAAAACATATTGAAATGATGCCAGCTATACTTGATAATAAAAGGATTTGGTAGAAATATGTAAAAGCATCCCTTCGTAAAAAGATTATTCCAGAATAACTGGGTAATAGTTAGGAGAGGTGTGCCAACGGAAAACAGAAGGAAGGTTGTTAGATAACTCAAGAATTTGCTAAGGGATGCTTCATAAACAATTCACAGATCATGAAAGTTCTACCCATCAGCTAGAGTGACTTGATCCACTACTTCAGCTCATGACTCGGAGAAGAAACGTCCTTGTCTGCTGTCTCAGTGCAACAGAAACTTTCTTTTATTCTCTATTGTTAACGAATGATTTTTCACAAATGCAATGTGACTTCTACAAGGAAGAAAGAAATAGAATGAATCAGTGAACTTGTGAGATGATACCACGGCACGAATAAAGGGAAGATGTGATTTTTTACTTGATTGAACAGTCTAAATTAAAATCCCTCCCCTTCCCTCCATTGAACCAATCACTTATAAGCCTTAGAAGAAGTACTTTGCAACGAGCTTCTTCTCAGCTTGCCCATACCACTGTTCTAAGTACCGGCATTCTTTCAGCAAATGAAAGATTTCCCTTGCCTCAGAATAAGGGATGAAGTGCTGCGGTATCCATGGGTTCCGTGCTAAGGATCATTGGAATAAGCAAGAATACTAAAAAATACCATCGAGAGGCATTTCAATTGAGACACCGGGAGGGCCATTAGTTCTTTGTCTCGTTCTTGAATAGATTGGAATGGAATAATTAATCTATTTCTTGAGGAAATTGATCCACTCAATTTCTCGTGATACAAAAATCATAGATCTAATACTTGCCCACAATAAGTATTCCTTCCTATATTTCTTGGAGAGAATGATAATTCCAGCTTCAGCAGAGTTAAGGCCAACATGAGACCATCATTCCTATGAAACAGAGACAAGTATGGAATTATAATTTCCCCTTGTAGACTATCTATGGAATCATCATTCCCACACTCCATGTCAAATTGAGAAAAACTACTTCTGCATTCAATCACTAGGGCAACAACAGATAATAGAATTCAGGGGCGTCTTTGAAATGCAAGAATAGTAAAAGGCCCGTTAAAAATTTCCTTTTACAAGTGTCGTTTATTTATAGGATTAGTTCGTAATATTTCCCCCAAGGATCAAAACATGGTGAAAGAATGATCAGAAGGTGGAACTAAGTGAAAATGACTATCGATACATAAAATCTTGAAAAGAAGACCAAGTGGAGAAAACAAAAGCCAGCAGTTTAATTGAAGTCATATTTAACTCAAACTAAAAGCTTAATCAAACCCTAACTATGAACGATCAGGAAGGCAAGCACTAGAACCAGTTATAGTTTCCGAAAACAATAAAATATCCCGGAGAACCAAATATACGTATAAAGCAGATTGATTAAAGTTAGGTTTGTGGGAGTCAAAGGACCAAAGCTTCAAAAAATACAAAGTGCCGCAGAAATTACCAAATACCACAGAGTTGGGAAGATCCAATAACAAAGGAGGAGTCAGTTTTCCAGAATTTCCAGTACAAGGGCGTTCTTCTTTTCTTGCCTTTTCCCGACGACAGCCGAGATTCTTTCCCTTCCCAACCTTGAGCCCTGTGGTCTGGGTGGGAGACTCAACTTTTTTCCAGCATTATTTAGATTTTAAAAAAAATTCAAATCAGCCATACATGTGGTGCGTGGTGGGGAATGACACTTATAGTTCAAAAAGTGAATTTAATAGTTCCTAAAAAAAATTCTTGTCATAAAAAAAACTCTTTTGTTGACAATTTTGGTAATTATAAATATAAGACTATTAATTATAAAAAGTAAAATATAAGCAAATTTTATTATATGGATTAGGTCCAATTCTCTAGTCAAATCTTGTCATATTTAATTTTATTATTAATAATGATTTAACAGAGTTTTGAAGTTGGAACAAAAACCAACAAAGTTTTGACATTTTATCAATATAAATTTTTATTATAAAAAAGTTCGTATATTAAAATTTGATTAGGAAATTAGACCTAATAGATATAAGTGAATGGGAATAAGTTTGTCTAATTATAAAGTAAATATTTAAGCCATATAAGTTATGTTTTATGATTTATAACTAATAATCTCATACTTATAATTATTTAAAACAATATTATAATTTATTTTTAACAAATTTAATGTGAAATATGAAACTGGGATGGGATTCGACCAAGCCTAATAAACTTGTTCTTAAAATGGATGGGCTCTATAAAAACAGATTTGGAAAGCTTTATTTACGCAAATGTGCCGATTTTGTGAAGCCCCATCCTAATGCGGGGGATTAAAGGGTTGGTGCTTGGTGGTTTAGTCCAAATACGTAGTCATTAAAGTTTTTAAATTTAAAAACATGTATCTCATTATTTTATTATTTAATATGTAAAATCAAAATATACGTAATCCACAGCTTAATTCAAGCATCCCACTATTCATATTCATAATTTAAACTATAATTCATGTAATTCATCCATAACAACCCCTCATCTAAAGTCTTACTATCTCCGGTCCTAATTATAAGATCCAGTTGACTAATTTGAGGAGATTAAGGAAGTAAGTTAAGTTAGTTATTTGTAACAAATAAGTGTTGTTATTCCTAAAATATTCTTGCTAATTAAGTGTGTTGGTTAGAACTATCATTATTAGAAGGACTATCTTGGAAAAAAACATATAAATATGAAAGAAAAAATGAATTGGGGTCTTATAATTAGGATCAAACTAAAAGTCAAACGGGGTCCTATATTAAGGACCGGAGGTAGTATTATAGAATGATCAGAATCATCATCAAATTTTGTGTGTGCGCGTATAAAAAATTCTCATCAATAGCTTCTGATAAAAAAAAAAATCATCATGACTAATAATATTTGAAGCTCAGTTGATCTTGATTTGGTCGAAAATATCAAATTTTAGAATTTATTCTTTATTTATTATTATCCTTATGAGCAGCCACAAAATATTAATAAATAAAGGTTAAAGTACATATATGTTTCAATTTGATCCCTTGATTTTAAAAAAACACACATTTGGTGATTTAACTCTAAAACTGTTAAATTTAAATAATATTTTTGTAACATTTAAAGTTAAACTTAATATATTGGCATTTGAGAAGATTTTATCAACATATAAAATTTTAATATCGTTATTTTTTATTAACAATTTTAATGTTAAAAAACTAAAAGTATATGTTTTTAAAATTAAAAGATTAAATTAAAACTCTTTATAAAGTTAAAGAATTAAATATATATTTTTATCTAAATTAAAATATCACATATATAATAATGCCTCACTAATTATTGACAAATATACATCTCATTACTCTATGTATCATTTTTTTACTTAAATTTTATTGACACTATTTACAAACCATGCAAAACTCATTTTAAGCACTGTATATTTGTTTTTAATTATATTTGAAGAATTTTTTTTTTTTCATCTACTTCCACCAAAACCCCATTCCTTCCAACAAGTGTGGCGATGTTCGGGTTTGTGACATGTCTTATCCCTTGATTTTGAACGAGTTTTGCTCTAGTCTTGTTATCCAAAATAAATAAATAGGTCAGGAAAGATAAATGGGAAATTTGGTATAAAAAAAATCCTTATTTGGAAAGTTTATTGATTAGCTCAAAAAAAAAAAAAGGGGACCTGGTACAACTCATCTCCAGGCTCCAGCGATGTTTTTTTTTTTTAATTATGTATAACATATTTTTAATTATATGCGAAACAATCGTTAAACCAAAAATTTATTTAGTTTCAATTATTAGAAATAATTGCACCTCATGACCTCGTCAAATGATGATTCTTCCCCTAATTTTTTTTTTTAAATTTAACGATATAAATTGAAGATCAAATGAAATCTGGCCATCCATTTTGTTTTAAAATTGTCATTCAATTTCTTCCTTCATGCATCTCTCAAGCATGAGAAAGTTCTCCGTCAACCTGCCTACCCAATGGCCTCCATCATTTTGCTTTGGTGCTACATAAAGTGAAATCCCACCATTTTTTTTTTAAAAACATAGTTAATTGACCGCAGCAGAGAGTAAGGAGGACCTAAGAAAATTAGTGGCTTTTAGAACACAAGAGCCAAGACTTACAACCTTACTCAAAACTAGACGAAAAGCATGGTTGGACGATGAAGGACCAGCTAGAAGATCCTCCAAGACTTAGTACTACCTCTTATCTTTAATATAAGATTTTATTTTATTTTTATTTTAGTTCTAAATATAAGACCCTAATCCACTTTATCTTTCATATTTATCCATTTTGTTCCAAGATAGTCCTTGTAATAATTGTAGTTGTAGCTAATATACTTGATTAGTAAGGACATTTAACAACACCTATTTATTACAAATAACTAACTTAACTTCTTTTCTTAATCTACTCAAATTAGTCAACTAGCTCTTATATTTAGAACCGAAAGTAGTATAAGACTTAATTAACTAATTTGAGTATATTAAATATGTTAGTTAAATTAGTTAATATGATATATTTTTTATAAAGCATTTTAAGCATCTTCTTTAATTTCTTCCCTTCTTCTCTTACTTGATTATTGTTGAGAGAATATCAATATGGTTAATTTGAGAAAAAATTGATAAACGTATGAAATAAATCTTATAGATAAAACCAATATCAACTTTCTAATTAGATCCTATATTAGAGATCGACCGAAAGAGTATGTGGGAAAAAAAGGGAACTTGAATAGTATGATAATATTCTTTTTGAATTAGATGCAAGAACAACCCACAGCCTCTAATTTGTAGAGGATTATTCATGGCTATCGATTGATGGTAATATTTTACAGAGATAAAATTGCATGCAGTTATCCATGACATTGAGTTTGATAGAAACAGTCTAATTTCTCACAGCATGATAAATTAATATTCAAAATTCCATTAAGAAAAATATCTATATTTAGTACCTAAATGTCTCAAGTAGGATTGCTTCTAATAAAAAAATACATATGCTTATTATAAAAAAAGAGAAAATCCTAATTAAATCCTGCTGAAATACTTAAAATTAAATTGAGGCCTACACTTTTAACAAATTCTTTATTAGGACATAAGACCTAATTAGGAATTGCTGAATATTGTTAAGTAACTATAATGCCCCTCTTTAGTTAAAAATGAAAATTGATTATTTTATCCCTCTAAAATGGTTCATCATCTCTTATTATTAATATTTAGACAAAAAAATATAAATAATTTTTTAGTGTTTGAAATTTTGTAATATAACTAAAATCTTCAAAATATTTTCATAAAACATTTCAAATTATAATATATGTAATCTTTAAATAAATATTTTTAATATATTTTTTTTCAGGTTGTAAATATTTATTTTAAAATTTTAAAATATTTTAATTATAATAAAAAATTAATATTAAATCGTAATCATTTACGTTTTCAATTCGATCCAACATTGTTTAAATAAATAAAACTAACGTAAATTACAAGAACTGAAAATAAAAAATATTTATAATTTTACTTATATTTGTAATTTAACATGTTTTATTAAAATATTTTTAATAGTATAAGTTATATATACAAATTTCAAACATTGTAAAATTACTTATATGTTTTTTGGTTTAAAAAAAATCATAAGAGATGAGGAATTACTTGGGAGAGGTATATTAATCAAGTTTTCTTTTTAATTGAAGAGGGGCATTTTGGTGATTTAACAACATTCAAAAATCCCTAATTAGATCTCATGGCCTAATTAGGAATTTGCTAAAAGTGTAGGCCTAAATTTGAATTTAGGTATTTCGGCTGGATTTAATTGGGATTCTCCCTAAAAAAATGTCTGAATATGAATTTTGCAAATAATTTTAAATAAGCTGGTCATATAGTTAAATAATAAATATTATTCTTAAAATAAGCAAACTGTGATTTGGATATAATCCAAACAAATTACATTATTCATTAATAACTCCCTCAATTTTTTACGAGCTAGTGAGCTATACTCCTCTCATTCTATATATATGAACCGGCGAACGAATTTGTTTTAACTGTACAACCCAATTCATTTCATCTTTCAAATTTAAAATTTGTTCGGCAAATTATTCCTATTAGTTATAATTAATAAGGAGATTTATATTGGGATGAATTTTCAATACAAATGATTAAAGAAGTATTTTAAAAAAATCAACATTTTTTTAACTAATTTTTTAAATTTCTATCAATTAATTATTTAGTTCCTACATTTAAGATCAAATGTATAGAATTTATAAAATAATACTTAAGTTAAGTTTTTTATATTTATTATATCAAATTCTTCAATTACATACTAATCATGTGTCCTATTTTTAAAATATTATTATTAAAATATAAACTCATATGAAAGAAATGACACATGGCCATATGAAAATTTCACATAATGAATATATAAAACTTAATGCAAATATTTTCCTAATTTATATAGGAATGCCTGGCTTTTTCCCTTTAGTTCAATAACAAAGTTAATCCCGTGGGAGAAACGAAAATTTATATACCAATACATAGATAATAATTATATTGGCGTAACTAATAAGGGTTGGTCCAGTTGGTAATGAGTTGGCTCATAACCCATAAGGTTGTGAGTTCAAATCCTGCTGCCGGATGTGAGAACTTTGTTGGTGGACAGCGCTTTTTGAATCTGGAGACATATCCTGATCCTAATAAGCTCTTAAAACCCAGCTCACCTAAACTCTTTTTTAACAAAAAAAATAATTATATTGGCGTAACTTCTACTGTTCTGCACGTACCCAAACTTCTAAATATTACAACTCACGCGAATCTGGTCACATGCGTGCGCCAATGCATGGAGCAATGGGCGCCGAACTTGGGCATCACGTTTTCCTTCTCTCTGTTACAAAAATGTAATTACCAAGAAAATGCTGTTTACTTGTTGAAAAATCCTTTTAATAATTACAATATATTTTTGACTAAAGTATACATTTAATTCTTTAACTTTATGTAAGGTTTTAGTTTGATCTCTTAATTTTAAAAAGTATAATTTTAGTCCTTTACCTCTAAAATTATTAGCCTTAAATGATATTTTTTATAATAATCATGGTTATTTTGAAAATTAAACTTAATATTATAGTATTTAGTAATGTTTTATCAATATTCAAAAGCTCAATATCATTGTTTTTTTATTAACAATTCTAAGATTATAGAAATAAAAGTTTACTTTTTAAAATTGAGGGATTAAAATGAAACCTTATATAAAATTAAAGGACTAAAAGTATACTTTAGCCTTTATTATTTTATTAGAGTCTCTTTTTGAAAAGAATAATACATAATGAAATTTCCTAATTTTACCCAAAAAAAAGAAATTTACTAATAGTTTTTGTAGGATCAATTTACTCATAAAAAAATAAAATTTTTCAAAATTTTTGTTGTAAAAATTGTAGATTTTTAAAATTTACCTTATCCATTACTAAGAATATTTGTGTTTGAGAATTGCTGCCACGATTTATCTGTGGGAAGAAAGAACTGCTGGAATCTAACCTAAATACTTGTAGAACGTATGAAGTTGAACAGGAGGATACGGTCAAAGTGTCAAATTTAGGAACTATACACCAAAGCCGTCACCTTCTCCCTGCCTCAACCGCTCTACGGGCAGTGGTTGGGGGAGAGAGAGTGTTTCTTTCTTCTCCGAGAAACACTCCTCTCTTTATCTTCGTGCTCAATCCCCTCTCATTCTCTGTTTCCATTTCTTTATTCTCTCTCCCTTTCTGTCATCCCACGTTTATTTATTCTATCTCCCTCATATCCATATCTTTTAATATTACATGCCCACAATTTGTTTACTCATGCAGATCCCAAGGTTCTTCATTTTCTTCTCTTAGCTTGGATTCTTCATTGGGTCATTCAAAAAGGACGAGTTTATAGTTCAATCTGTCTGTCATTTCTCGTACTTCATTTGCCCATTAATCCAAACAAGTTCTCTATGTCTCGTGTTTTCTCGAGATGGAGGAAGCTGAAGGAAATGGCGATGCTTACTTATGGAGACACAGAGTTGGCTGTTCCAGTACGGTCTCGGAATAACTGGAAAAAGTGCAATTTCATGTTCAAGCAGGTGCGTCCAATCTCTACCCACTTGAATCACCTCCCAATTGCCACCTATAGACGGCGGGAATCGCTTATCGGAGTTCAGAAGAGGTATAAGTGGGACCATAGTGGCTCCGATGACACTCACAATCCGACATCACAGACCCGCAAGATTCGGGCCGAGACTAATTGCCCGCGCTGCACCAAGCACATGGCCATCCTGTTCTCTAATCACCATTTCCCCGTTTCTTCTGGTTCTGATCCCAATTCTAACCCTTCGGTCCCTCTTCAAGGAGAAGGGGGTTATCAGGCGGTAAACATTTGTCCTAGTTGTGGAACTGCCTATTATTTTCGACCTTATAGCATTGCTCCTCTTCAGGGCTCCTTTATAGAGATTGGGAAGGTAACTAACAGTAGTGTTAATAATACCGCTAATAAAACGCCGAAGAGAACTCATAGCAAAGACAATGTTCATGATGGAGGCTCTGGAGTAGAAGATTATGATAAGAAAAGAAATAGCAGCGATAAGCTTAGAGTGACATTCTGGGACACTCCAAGATCGCACAATGGTGAAAATGGCGGGGAACCACCAGAGAACTGGCCTCCCCCTTTACCAGGCTTGTCTAATGGAAATGGGTTGACGGCGCATACTCCACCAGGCCCACCGCTTCCACCAGGGCTGAATGCCATTCGATCTTCAGGGCCACGGCAAGGTGGCAGAAGCGGGGCTGGCAAAGTGAAGACTATCTGGGGGGGCTCCAATTTGGGTAAGGATTTACCCACGCCGAAGGAGATCTGCAAAGGTCTTGACAAGTTTGTTATTGGTCAGGACAGAGCTAAAAAGGTATCTTAGCCTCAAATTTTTTTAAGATCAATGTCCCCTATTTTATCCAGTTTTACGTTATTGCTTATTCAGTATGCTGACAATACTTAAGCAGTTTATTATTCCTACCCTAAGAAGACGTAATAGTGTGTCAGTGCTCCTTTAGCTTTATCTTAGTAGTCTCAGTAAACGCAATGTTCCAAATTGTGGCCTAGGATGACCTCACGGTTGCTCCATGTTTGTATTGAAGGTGCTTTCTGTAGCTGTTTATAACCACTATAAAAGAATATACCATGCCTCTTTGCAGAAAGGGTTAGTTCTTGCACTGTGCGTTTTATTTTCCCATGTACCTTAATGGTAATACAACTGATGCTCCTGAGTTTCTTCTTTCCGTTTATTTATAATTCTTCTTTGAGGAGTTATTTATTTGCTATGACTGAAATGGTGGATTTTATTACTAGGTCAGGGGCAGATTCAGGAACTTCAGAAACATTGGATGTTGATCAAAATGTGGAGCTAGAAAAGAGTAATGTTCTATTGATGGGTCCAACTGGATCAGGTGCAGCTTGCAACATGGCTACTTTTTGTTCTTCTCAATAAATGAGAAACAGTTAGACCCATATTGTTAAGATGCTATTTTGTATAAGGCATCTGAAATTACAGTATGATTTCTTTGCTTATTTGAATTTTTGATAAATAGGGAAGACCTTACTTGCAAAGACACTAGCTCGTTTCGTGAATGTTCCATTTGTCATAGCTGACGCTACAACCTTAACGCAGGCAAGTTGCTCTTTTTTTTTTTTTTTTTTAGTAGGCCAGCCAAATATGCTTTTATAAGGCAAGTATGCTAGAATTTGTATTGATATCTTCATCTTCTTCTGCCAAATATTTGAATTGCATCTGATATATATATTGAATGAACTATTGTTGTATTCTTGCTTCTTTCATTAAGTTTTACATACAACTGAAAATCTGAGCACATGACAGTAGGTTTCATGACTGTTCAATATATTGTTGCTCTAGGAAGATACTTTTGGTGTTATTGACAAAAGAGGAAATTACTTTGCAGGCCGGTTATGTTGGAGAGGATGTTGAATCAATCCTGCATAAACTACTGGCGGTATGTGACTTCTTTCTGGTGACCTATCATGTTCCTGTAATAACATTTCAAGCCGTTCCTCTCTAGGGATGTGCCTGTTGATGGTTTTCACAACCTTCTCTGGATGCTTTGATGAAATCTGAAAAATCTATTGTGAATCCCTATTAGCTCAAAGAGAAGAGTATTTAGTTTGTGCCTTCATTGATTTCTTGATTCCTAAGCTCACACGATGTACTGTATCTTATTTACTTTTGCGGTCAAGTCATGAGTTTGAAAAGGGCCTGTATGGTTGACTCGCTATTCCTTCAGGGTTGATGTTTGTGGACATGATCTAGATTCTCTGTGTTGAAAAGAAAAATTGTTGTTGGAATTTGTGGAGTGGCAAATAGTGACATGTAATCTGATCAATATTGTTTTTTTTTTTTTTGGTCTGGTGCTTTCCTTGTATCTTAGCTATAATCTTTACTCTGTGCTCCTGCAATTATCTAAATCACATAGAAACTGCTGCTTTTATAAGATCTTCATTTCTTTTGCTTTCCAGGTAATAATAATCTGGAGTGGGTCTATTGCATGTAATTCTTTTGTTGACTGTCTCTTTTGTATTTAGGGAGTTAATCATTTAATTAATACCTACGGTTCTTAAGAGGTATAATGTCTCTGTGAAATTTAGATCTTTTGTCTCGTCCTTTTTAAAGTACCACATGCATTGAGGATTTGGGTGTCCTGCTATTCTTGTTCCCTGATGAATGTTTTGTTACAAGCTTTAGTAGTTTGCAGGCACAATCGAATTTATCATCAATTATTGAATGGCTTAAATACATATTGTAGATTGTAAGTTAACAGTAGGTTGATGTGGGTTTGCCCTCAGCTCTGAAATATCCTCTTTTGACTTGTTTTAGGGATATTGGCGGGAAAAAAAGGTGGCAAAACTTGTGGGGATTTAAAATGTTCATTTAATTTGGTGTCTCTGGATTAGGTAGAATGTTAGAAATCCTTGAAAAATTTTACCTTAATGACCCTAATATTACTTTTGAATTTATTGCCTCTTGTATTGTCAATCTTCTCTTGGTGCTTTAACCATATTTATTTATTCTCAGTATGTCTACTTTCATTTCCAATCTTTCGTAACTGGGGTACTTTCTTTGCTTATGACTTCTCTACTTATATTATTTAGATTTTATTTTGTTTTATTTGCTATTTGCTATTTGCTTTCCGGAAGATTACATCAAATGTTCTTCCTATGTACTTATCATTATACTCTCAAATAAATATCATGCGCTAATCATTCTTGCTGCACAGGCAGCAGAGTTCAATGTTCAAGCAGCTCAACAAGGGATAGTTTACATTGATGAAGTTGACAAGATAACTAAGAAGGTATCTTTTTCATATAACTGAAAGGTTCATGATTGTACATCCATTGTATCTTTCTAAATTTATGGGTAATATTACAGGCTGAGAGCTTAAATATCAGCCGTGATGTTTCGGGTGAGGGTGTTCAACAGGCGTTGTTAAAAATGCTGGAAGGAACTGTGAGTAAATTAATTCCATACTTCTTGCCGATTGGTTCATCTACTCTTTAATTGAAATCTGCTTAATGTTATGATGTGTTCCTTTGCATATACTCAGCAAATCGTATGTCTTTATCACTGCCAGCATATGAAAGTCATTTCTTGTATATACTGTAGCTGAATACTGCTGTCTGACATGCAGTTTGTTATCATAGGATCTTATGGCAATTGCATTTTGAACTTAATAGCATTGACATATAAGTGAAAATGGTGGTTAGGCTAAGTGAAAACAATGTATTCTTGGTGGTTCTTAGGTTCAAAGGATTCTTTACATGTATTAGTTGCAGGATGCCGCTTCATTGTGTGATTAGGCATTGAGAACTGTAGAGTGGACTTGAAAAAGCAATTAGGAGAGTTATTTGACAGGATGGTAATAGTGCTGTTCCTTCTGTGTGTGGACTTGAAAACAAAGAGTACATGCTCCAGAAGTAAATAACTGGTGCGCTCACCGTTTTCTATGTCTGAGTAACACAAGATAATTCCTGTGTCTCCTGTCTGCCAAGAATTCCAAATATTAAACTGCAGTCCAGGCAAAAAATACAGCCTTGATTTTCTAAGGGAATTGTGCGTGGCTTTCACTAATCAGCCCCTTAAAAAATCCCTGGACATACACGGTCAAAATAGGAACAATGTGTGTGGAAATGAAGAGTGAATTATGAATTATTGGAGATGAAATAGAGTCCCTGGTTAATACTAGTAATGTGGTTCTAAGTACTGGCATTCTTCGATCTTAAGCTCAGTTTTTTGAAGCCTTTATCAGCCGAAGTCTACCAAAGTCCCCGGTAGATGCTTGACTGTCTTTTTGTGGTTATTTTTTTTTTTCTAGACTTTATTTTAACATGATATGTCTTTTTCTGTTTTCAACATTTTCAACTTCCTAGTTTAGACTATTTATGCTAAATGTTTCTTAAAACTTAATTTTTGTATAATGGTTGGTATCATTTTAATGGTAGCCTAAACATTGAATGATGTCTTGTCTAGATAGTAAGTGTTCCGGAGAAAGGAGCAAGGAAGCATCCACGGGGTGATAACATACAGGTATGTTAGAATACCTTTTTTCCTTCATTTCATGCCTGAACCAGGATCTCATTAGACATGCCTTACATGTATGGAAAGGACGGTGCAATTGCCTTATGGTTGGTGACAATAGTGACAACTCTTATGGATAAGTGCTGAAATAGTTCCTACTTCCTAGTCCTATGGTTTATATGCAAAGTCTTGGTATTGAAAGAAAGTTTGATATTGCATATTAAGGAGAATTTATAATAATGGTAAAAAAAATTAAAATTTAAAAAATACTAATCCTGACACCCATTCAGTGGATGTGGTGCCCACTTAATTTTATTTATTTTCACTGATAATGAGATAATGGGGAATTTTGAAATTTCATATAATTACCCACTAAATTTTTATATGCAGATTGACACAAAGAATATTCTTTTCATATGTGGTGGAGCATTCGTAGATCTTGATAAAACCATTTCAGAGAGGTAAATTTTTCTTTGTTTTGTGGTGTTGTTGTTGTTGGTTGTTATTTGGTTTTCAAGAATATTATTGTGTTTTATTCCAAATGACGCTTTAAATTTTGAGAATTTATGAATTAAACCAGACGAGAGGATTCTTCTATTGGTTTTGGAGCACCAGTTCGTGCTAATATGAGAACTGGTGGAGTAACAGATGCTGCAGTAACGTCATCTTTACTTGAGTCGGTGAGAATTGACCTTCTTATCTGAATAGATATTCTTCCCGTCTTTTAGTTCTTTAATAGTGATATGCTATAGGCAATTGCAGCCGACAAATCATGTACTTCAGTGGTACTGTCTACTTCAACCCCCCGCCCCAAGGAAAATATACGAGTAGCAATATGATTATTATAGATCATAACCTTCTGGTTGAGTCTAATAGACGCATTAGCAATTGTCAGGTAGAAAGTTCTGATCTGATTGCATACGGTCTCATACCAGAGTTTATTGGACGGTTTCCAATCTTAGTGAGCTTGTCAGCTTTAACTGAAGATCAACTTGTACAGGTGTTACTTCACTTTTTATATCTTCTATTATCCTACCACAGCCTTTTCTAGTAGTATATTTTAACGTTTAATGCTTATGTCATTAGTTCATCTAGTCATTCCTCGGGGCATTTGTTTATATCATATGGTTCTCTCCTTTATACATCAATGTATTTAGCTTTTGGCTATCTTCAATTGGATCTAAAGATGAACCTCCTCGTCTTTGCCAGAGTTTGGATAATGAAATCTAAACAAAAGGAAGGAAAAAGTGGACACCTCAGATGTGCAAGCACATGGGTGATAGTTAATTTTTGAATGGAAAAGGGAGAAAATTTTTTGATAAGGATGAAAAGGTCTAATAATGGATTCTAAAGGTATCAAGCTTTTTAATATCACTTTATATGTACAAAACAAGGTCGTGAATTTGTAGATGCTGCAAGCAGTATGACATGTACGTTAGTTTAGACTTTAAAATGTACGTGATAGCTGATGAAAATGTTCAAGTTCTGTATGTTTATGCTAAGATATCTCGCATAATGACACAAATATCTTGGCTTTTCAGGTTCTCACAGAACCAAAAAATGCTCTTGGCAAGCAGTACAAGAAATTATTTGGCATGAATAATGTAAGCACATCTCTCTCTTCCCCTCCCCCCCCCCCCCCACCCCACTCGCTGAACCACCTCATCACCACATCCAGATAAACTTTTTTTTTTTGGGGCCAAAAAGATCCAGATAATCTCAAACCAACTAAATTTGTGCATTTGGGTAAGTAAGCCCCTCCAATTTTAAATCGGTCCACCTGCTTGATTGTCTGAAAGGGACCTAATATAACAATGACCCACTGAATATTTATTTTCTTTTGACCTTACTGTCACATTTTCCTAAATTCCCATATCTTTCTTTCATGTAATCTGCTGATCATTACAGCCCGGCTCTAAGCCACTGCTTAGTGTCAATGTTCAATCATTCTTCGACCATTCTACCATTTGATATGAACTTGATTTTTGGGAATCTTTAATCATTCGACTATTCTACCTTGTCTGAACTGTTAACCCCCTGCCCTTCCCTACGAACTCAGCTAAGTTGAGTGATAAGCATTTGTTTATTCATCCATTCATTCGTTTTAGTTGTGAATGGTGGGTGGGAGTAGTTAGTTATCTGAAATTCTCCCTCTACTCTTCAGGTAAAGCTACACTTCGTTGAGAAAGCACTGAGACTTATTGCCAAGAAAGCAGTGGCCAAAAATACTGGCGCCAGGGGTTTAAGAGCCCTACTGGAAAGCATCCTAAATGAAGCCATGTTTGAAGTATGAAAGAGTTTATTGCTTTCATAAAATACCTGGCTATCATCGAATGTCCAAGATGGTTATTTATCTTTATTCTTTATGGTGTTCTCATGTGTTCAATGCTTCTATGAACAGGTTCCAGATGTGATGACAGGAGATGAGCGGGTTGAAGCTGTTCTTGTTGATGAGGAGTCTGTGGGATCAATGAACGCTCCTGGATGTGGTGGCAAAATTCTTCGTGGAGATGGTGCTTTGGAACGATACTTAGTTAAGCTGAGAGATTCAGTGGTATGATCGTATATCTAATTATGTGCTGGGTTATGCCTTATAAGCATTAAGTTGTATTGGTTTCTAGGCATCACTTACTTAAAAGTAAAATACTACCTCTTCCCTTGAAAGTTGACATAATTACACTTCCTCTCCTTTATTACTAAGGCACACGTGCATCTTCCTGAAAACCAAAGAAAAATGCTAAAACTAAAATCTAATTTTGGGTTTGACATTAAGGAAACTGTTTAGCTCTGTTTTCTGGTGATCAATGACCTGGTACCACATGTTTTAACTGAAAATATCGTATAATAACCTTTGCATATGTTGATTCCCTTATATTTGCATTCAAACGGACATAAAAATGGAAGATGTGACGCCAAGAGAACTTCGTTCAATCACCAGTCACATATTTTCCATTTACCTACCAATAAATGAATATCAACAAATGCAGAGGTTAATGAAAGGTGGCTTGGTCAAAAGTAGTATCAAATCGTTGACCCCCAAAAATGGAGCTAAAAAGAAAGCTGCAATCTAGTTATAGCGTATGTCTCTTTTTTTAAAAGTAAGTTCAGATATGTTTTCATAATGAAAAGGAAGACAATGTAATTAAGTCGAGTTTCATACTGGATATGATTTACTTCGGTTTGAGCAGCAGTAACATAACAGGGTATTCGGAAGATTATTAGTCGATCCAATTGGCTTCATTATTTTTTTCAGGTTAACGGCCAGATAGTTGAATCAGAGTTACAAGAAGGAGAATCGGAGCTTGCATCAAGAGCCATGAGCATATAATAGTTAGGCATACCATATTGTTAAGGTGTATAATTTATCCCTTGTGAGTTTTGTTTGTAAAATTCCAATTCAAAAGGTGCTTTGATTATTTCTTTGTATTTGCATGGCTTCTTTTTGAAGTCCATTGGACCAAACATGTAGCACTGCTGATTTAGGGGCTCGGAATAAGAGAAGGAAGCGTATAGCATTGCTAATTTAGGGGATACATAGAATTTTTCATGTGATTTTTCTATTGTTGTAGAAACACATGAGAAGATCCAATAATATACAATGCTTTTAAAAAAAAAAAAATTACTCTTCTGAGTTTTATCGAAGTTCCCTCTCATCTTAGAAATCTTTTACTCCTCTTCATAATTAATGTCTATAACTGCAAGCATTATTTGCACTTGCGTCTTTTAAACATCCTGTGCACCAAAATGGATTAGACTAAAGAGTTCTTTAACCCTAAACCTAAGGTGCCTAAAGACTTTGCCTTTTTTTTTTTTGCTACAGTATAGGTATCCTCCTATTGAATGCAATCCTATTCGAGGTACTGTCGGGCACTAAGTGTGGGCACCTCTCTCAGCAGGGATTTGAACCTTGGTTTACCGCGTTGTGGGAGACCAGCTCCTTCAGCTAGACCCAATTCCCATTGGTTAAAGACTTTGTCTTGTACAAAGTAAAAAAGTTATTGTCTTGATAAAATTAGAAAGAAGCTTTCCTGCCTCTACCAGGATGATGCTAAGGGCACATTTGGTTTGTGGACTGGAATAGAATTGCAGGGGAAAAAAAAGGCCTTTTTGTAACAAAAAATACTTTTTAGACATGAAATATTACATATAAAAAGGACTAACAAGGCAGAAAGAAAGGTTATAGTATATATTCCATGTATGGATTTATGTCCTAAGATGAAATATTACACTATGTTGAACGTTTTACCTTGTGATGATGGACATCAAAATGCAAGATCAAGAGTCACCATATTTCTAAATTCGTAATTTAATAAACATATAAAATTATTTATTATTTTTCAAAATTCAACCCATCTAAACTCTTCAAAAATTGTTTATTACCCACACTTCATAAACCACACCTACTCTAAATCCCTTAAATAAAAAAAGATTAACTCAAAAATGGTCTGAAATAAAAAAGGCTTGAGTTGATCCATTCACTAAACAAATCCCAAAAAGCTAGGAAGGATCTATTTGGCACTAGACTTGGAAATGAGACTCTGGGCATCTGAGGCAGTTGGGAGTGCAGGTATGGCTCCTTTCTGGGTTGTACAAAGTGCTGCACAAGCATTTGCAAATGTCAGAGCCTCTTTCAGTTTTGGTTCATCCTGCAACATAGTGCATTCAATAAATATCAGAAACAATAAATCTAAGGCTTGATCTCGCAACTGAAGTGAGAACAGAGGGAAGAAAATACATCAAATATGGAAGGGTTGTTAGCCACAGAAACGAGAAGTGAACCAACAAAAGAATCGCCGGCACCAGTTGTGTCCACTGTGTTCACTTTGAACCCTGGAATCTTGCCTTTGAATTTCTGTACTCAAACAAGATGATTCATGTAAACATGTATGCGTGGAGTTTAGATCACTCTTCGAAACCATAAAAGGAGAACTAAAATGTATAGTATAAGTATTGACTAAGTTTATCATAAATAGGTACAAGTCTCACTGGAATGTATGTATATCCAACGTCTTTATGCGATGGACCAAACATTACTTAAGAGGTCAAACTTCTCAATTTCTCATGCCAAATTCTATCCTCATCTGGTCTAATTTTTTCCCAACCATCTGATATATTGTGTACTAATAACTAATTTATATTTGAGCATTATAGGTCCCGAATGAGGGGTAACTTTCTAGTGTGCATATTTACATCTGCAAAATACAAATCTAGAAATGTTACTTAAGAGATATCGAGTCTTTTTTCCTCAACTCTAACATTAATATAGAGAATTTTTATTTTACTCATAAAGCTTCTTTTTGTGATGGAACAGTAACAAATCAAATTATTGGATCATAAACGTTTTTAAAATTTGAATCACACCAGTTAGCAATGACAGAATTCATTTTCCTGAAGAAAAATGGGGTATGAGGTAACTCAGCAAAAACAAAAAGGAATAGTACCTTGTTGAAGTATCTGCAACCCTTTTCTCCATCGGTGACAATAAGAAGCTTCAACTTGTCATGCCACAGGGACAAAACAACCTCTTCCTTTTCAGGATCTCCTTGTGTAAGAAAGTTCACTTCATCATCACTTACCTATAGAGAAAATGGTAAATCATGTGAAGATTTATAGAAATATACCAAATTTGAATACCAAGCTTATAAGAAGAAGTTTCATACCTTGATGAAGTCAGCTTCAGACCAAATACTCTTAATGCCAGACCTAGCAGCTTCAGCAGAAGGCCACAAAGGAAGCCTAACATTAGGATCATAGGAAAGCAAAGCTCCGGCTTCTCTAGCAGCTTTCATGGCTGCCATGTGAGCTGATCTGCAAGGCTCAGAGATGAGGCTAATAGAGCCATAATGGAATATCTTGGCCTTCTTGATCATCTCCATCTTCAACTCAGAATCCTTGAGAAGCATATCCGCACTAGGATTCCTGTAGAACATAAACTCCCTCTCTCCATCATTCCTCAAGGTCACAAAAGCCAATGCAGTTCTTGCATCTGCGTCGAAGCAAACCCCATCTGTATTCACCCCATTTTTCTTTAGTATATCTGCTAGCATCCTCCCAAACTCATCATCTCCCACCTGTTCACTTTATGTTCAATTATTAATGTTCTAATTCTGAGACATTCCAAGGTTTAAATGGCCAACATGGAATAACAGAGTGCAATCAGAGATTTCATGAAATATATACCATGTGTATAATATCATTGTGGAAACAAAAATGTTTGGACAGAGGCATCCAATACCCACTGATTCAAAGACAAAAACAGCACGAAACAATACTGCGGTATCCTTCAGATCATATGTTTGGACCCATTTAGCATTTCTTTTTCATTATCTCTCTTTTTTGTAATCTCTATTATGTTACTATGTCACATTTTCTCTTAAAAATAAAAAAACATAACTACGTAGATATAGATCATCTAATTTGAAACAAGGTTATTCAACTAGTTTTTAGATGCAAAGGAATCTCTCTAAGGAAGTGAAACTATGAGTTGAAGGGGATCCAAATTGGTCGAAATGCACTGAATTGATCGAGAGTATGTAAGCATAAGAAAATCAATAATATCTGAGGAATAAGATCATGATGATAATAGAGATTAAAGAGTAACCTTGCCAATGAAGGCTGAGTTGCCACCAAGTTTAGCAATGGCACAAGCAACGTTGGCAGGGGCCCCACCAGGGGCTTTGATGAAGCCTGGAGACTCAGCTAATGATACTCCAGATGTCGTAGGAACAAAGTCTATCAGCATCTCACCGAATGAGATTACTAACGAAGCTTCTTTGTTCGCCATAGCTTCCTCTGCTCCTGGTTCTGGATCTGTCTCTCAAATTATAACCTTAGTGTTTCAAAGGAGGTTCCTAACTTCTATGATTTCCTCACGCAAAATTATAGATATGCTGTTATAGACTGAGTCTTGAGTCATCCCGAAATTTTAAAATAAGACCAACGTATTTTTAATACTACCTCCGTTTCTTAATATAAGATCTTGTTTAACTTTTATTTTGGTCAACCAACACAATTAATTAGGAAGGATATTTTAGGAAAGACAACACCTATTTATTACAAATAACTAACTTAATTTCTTTTCTTAATCTTCTTAAATTAGTCAACTAGCTCTTATAATTAGGGCTGGAGGTAGTAGTCAGTTTTGTTATGACTAAATAATTTAATTTCATGCGTATATTAAAAATTGGAATTATATATTTTGGGTTAGTTGCGATTTTTTGCCATAATTTTAGGTGTTTATGTTAAATAATGATAACAGACTATTAGAGGAAGTATCTAAAAACTCGCTTTCAAGCGGCCTGGTGCATTAAAAAAAAAAAAAGAAATAAATGAATGAAAAATAAACGCAGGCTACTCATTTGAGGAAAAAAATTTGATCCGAAAATGAATGCATATTATATGGGAAGAGAAGAGAAAAGTCTGGCGCGGAACCGTTCCATTGAGCAATTTCTCCACTTCCCTCCACTGACCCAAAACGAGGTCGTTTCTTTCTTTCCCACCAATCAGCTTCCTGTATTTCCCCAGCTTAATGCAGCGATCAGGTTTTATGAGGTTCTGGTTTTATCTTAAATAAAGGCAAAAATACCCAAACACAATGCAAGCTTCCTCTGTTACGCAAAACACAAGCTTCTTTTGCGATTGATTAGCATTGTCTTGGAAACTGGATGCTGCAAGAGTTGGTGGACTTTTAGTTTGAACCTCAGGAAAAAGAATCTGAAAGGGGTGAGTCTTTGAAGGTTTTTTGTCCAAAGAAGAAGACTATTTTTTTTTTTTCAAATGGTTGATTGAGGCTTTTTTTTTTCCCTCCCCAAAATGGCATGATTGCAATACTGCTTAAATTATAAAACACTGCATTTTATATAAATGGAGGCTAAATGGGGAGGATTTGCAATGGAGAGGTTCCGCGCTGAGAAAACTCACCACAAGAAATTTAAAACTAATCACGGCATTTTAATCTGGTTTTACATTATCTTTATGAGATTTGAAATTCAAACACCGGTTTTTTGAGGTGTTTAGGTTTTTCTTTTCTACTCATAAAATTTCTATTTTAAATATAGAGATATTTTTTTGTAAACAAATAAATTTATGAAAACATGTGATGAGTAAGGATAAAAATTTTGAAAAAACAATTGTCGCAGGGGAATATGAACTTTTAATCACTAAATACCCATTAATATATCTATTAACTCATGTTTTTTTCGTAAACTATTTTCACTATTTTATTTATTTATAACATTTTTAAACATATTTTGTGTGGTTCATGAGGTGATGCAGCAAATAGAAAAGATCCAGGACAGGTTTCATACGGAATGAGGAGGAAGGGTGTGGGAAAATTCATGCAATAATTAGCGGGGAACTCTTGTGCAGAAGAGGGGTGGGCATGGATTGAAAGATTTACAGACTAGGAATGATGCTTTGATTGGAAGAGCGAGCTGGAATTTAGTTGCAAAGCCTGACAGCTTTTGCTCTTTGGTCTTGCATTGAAAATATGGAAAGAATTTGGACTTGAAGAAAGAACATATTGCTATAAATTCAGATTCAGAATTAAATGAAAGGGGCCAGAAGAGTGCAGGGATTCCTATAGTTAGCAACTCAAAATAAATTGCTAAAGGCGGCAAGTCATCATGATGCATGTGCTTAGAGACTGCAAATCATGGGGGAACTTGAAGAGGAGAGCTACTAATTAATCCAATCTTTCACCAACTAAATGGGAAGGACTGGTTCAATTGGAAGTTGATGAGGAGCAGGAACGAGCCTTGGGCTATGATGCTTGGGATAGCATGTGGGCATCTCTGGATTCAGAGGAATGAAAGCTTGTTTGGTGAGGAAGTATTAAACATAGCAGGAGACATGAGTAGAGTGGTTGAACATTATGTACAGGAGGTGAACATGGCAAGAGACACTTGAGGAAGTTGATATATGTCAGGTGGAGGGAGCCTAAAGAGGAATGGGTGATGCTCAATGCAGATGGAGCTTCCAAGGGGTAGGATAAGGTAGCTGGATGTGGAGGTTTGTTACAGAATACTTCTCTGGTTTTATTTATAGAGCAGAGAGAGAAAGTTTTTTTTATCTTATTTATAAGTCATTTCATTAAATTGTTAGTATAAATATATTATTTCGTCCTTCATTTATTATAGTGTAGACAATTATCCTTTTTGAAAAGTGTATATATTAAATAGGGATAAAATTGAAAAGTGGTATATTTTAATAAAAAGTTAATGCACTTTAAGGTTTTTCTTAATTTATGTAAAAATATACTAAAAGTGTCTTGTAAATAAGATTAGAAAAGTAGTAAGAGAATATGGATATATCACAGCTAAAAGAAGGAGTAGAGTTTCAGTCAACAATGTTAAAGCTGATCTGTACAAAGCTTCTTTATTTTCAACAGGCACATGTACATGGAAAACAAATCCATAGAAACACTTTATTCAGATATTACAATTGGTATCTTAAATTTGTTACAAGTAGGACTTCAAATTATTAACAATTCATAATTTTATATGTTCTTACTTTTATTATTAAATTTATTTTATTTAATTGAATATAGATTTTAAATTTCAGTTAGTAGCATTGACGAGAACAACACATTTTTTAGGATATAATGCTCGTCAACCACGCAGAAGAGGACTTACGCAGCCATTGATCAGTTTTTATCATAATATTAAAACTTAACCTGGATTGTTAAATGGATTAGTAAATTGGTGAATCACTTTTTTTAATTGGTCTTATTAAAAGTTTTGGACGAATCAATTAGATTTGGTTTTATATTTTTTTTCCTTCTCTTCAAACTTGATTTGATATTATTTTGAATTTTTAAATAAAAATAATAATTTGTCATATTTGAATTTTATTAACTCTATTTTATAAAATTATGTGTGATTTAAGATTGAATGTGTTACTAAAAATACCAATTCATCTCTGAACTTATTTTCATAAAATAAGGCCTATAGCACTATCAAGCCCACCTTTTTAATGTCATGTGAGCTTTAGTTATAAATTTAACTACTTGTATGATAATTATATAATAAATTTTGTAATAATATATTACTTCCTCCTCTCCTAAATATAAGATCTCTTTTGTAGTGTAAATTACACTATAAAAGGGGTCTTATATTTAGGACCGGAGGAGTATTATCTTATGAAACATATTATAGATGTCTATTACTTTAATAAAATTAGTCTCCAATATGACAATACATTATTGTATTCAACTTAATTACACTACAAAAGGGATATTATATTTAGGACCGGAGGAGTATTATCTTATGAAACGCATTATAGATGTCTATTACTTTAATAAAATTAGTCTCCAATATGACAATACATTATTGTATTCAACTTAATTACATTACAAAAGGGATCTTATATTTAGGACCGGAAGAGTATTATCTTATGAAACACATTATAGATGTCTATTACTTTAATAAAATTAGTCTCCAATATGACAATACATTATTGTATTCAACTTAATTACATTACAAAAGGGATCTTATATTTAGGACCGGAAGAGTATTATCTTATGAAACACATTATAGATGTCTATTACTTTAATAAAATTAGTCTCCAATATGACAATACATTATTGTATTCAACTTAATTACACTACAAAGGGATATTATATTTAAGACCGGAGGAGTATTATCTTATGAAACGCATTATAGATGTCTATTACTTTAATAAAATTAGTCTCCAATATGACAATACATTATTGTATTCAACTTAATTACATTACAAAAGGGATCTTATATTTAGGACCGGAAGAGTATTATCTTATGAAACACATTATAGATGTCTATTACTTTAATAAAATTAGTCTCCAATATGACAATACATTATTGTATTCAACTTAATTACACTACAAAAGGGATCTTATATTTAGGACCGGAGGAGTATTTTCTTGTGAAACACATTATAGATGTCTATTACTTTAATAAAATTAGTCTCCATATGACACTACATTATTGTATTCAACTTAATTACATTACAAAAGGGATCTTATATTTAGGACTGGAGGAGTATTATCTTATGAAACACATTATAGATGTCTATTACTTTAATAAAATTAGTCTCCAATATGACAATACATTATTGTATTCAACTTAAACTTTCAAAGTAAGTGAATTGTGATTATTCAAAGGATGCCGTGACTTCTTCTGCTGCTGTCTCTCAAATTACAGTCTTAGTGTTTCAAATGATGCTCTCGATTTTTGTGATTTCCTCACCCCAAAATTATAGATATGTGGTTATAGACTCAGTTTTGAATCATACCGAAATTTTAAAATAAAACTCTTATTTATGTAGCCAATTTTGTTTTAGGGATTTTATGACTAAGTAATGTTATTCCATGAGGATATTAAAAAAATGTGATTATATATTTTGGGTTAGTTATGATTTTTTACCATAATTGTATGTGGTTATTGAAAAATAATTCTAACATGCTATTAAAGAAATATCTTAAAAAAATGTGCTTTCATGATTCCGGAAATGAATGCCTATTCTATAGAGGAAGAGAATAGAAAATCCACCACATGAAAATGAAAAGTAATCCAGATTTGAAATTTAAACTTGTTTTGAGATGCCAAGGTTTTTCTTTTATGATCCTGAAATTTCTGTTTTAAATATAGAGATATTATTTTTCTTAAAAAAATAAATTTTATGAAAGCATATGCAAGTAGGGGATGAATTTTTCGAAAAACAATTATCTTAGGAGAATATGAACTTTTAATCACTAAATACCCATTGTAAAGTTTTTTTCCCAAAAATACCCATTTCAAATTAATTAATATGTCTCCCATAAACTATTTATACTAGTTTATTTATTTGTAACGTTTTTAAACTTACCTGATTAAATTTTCTTGTCATCTTTTTTCTTTGAATTTCTTTTGTTTGGGTGCCATAGATTATCAACCTTTCACTAACAGGGATGAATCGCCTAAGTGAGGATATAGCTGATAGTTTCAGGCTGTATAATAGATGAAGATTTAATTTGAAAGTCCTGAATTCTATACACAAACATAGCGTTTTAATATATGAATCATCTTTTATTATATTTATAAATTTTTTCCAAATATTACAAATGGCATTTTAAATTTGTTACAAGTAGCGCTTCTGATTACCAACAATTCATAATTTTATATTTTTCTTACTGTTATTAATAAATTTATTTAGTTGAATATAAATGTAATTTCATCTTAATATTAAAAGGGAAAATTTCAACTAAGTTTTACAATCTAGAATTAATAAATTTTTAGGCTTAGGAGATATTCAGTCTCCCTAACCCAAAATAAAATTAAATGAACAAGTAGAAAGATTATTTAGTCCTTAAAATTTGAAGCTAACATCTAATAGGCTTTTTTGTAAATTTTTTATGTTTAGAGCTGTTGTTTTTTCATTCGTTGTTATAAAAAAAGTATATGTATAAACGTTACATTTTTATGGTTTATTATAACTTTTTATATGCATAGTTGTTATTTTTCTATTCGTTGTTGTAAATGGCCATCTATTTAGTTTTTATTTGCCTATTTTTTGTTATAAATTTCCATATGTAGATTTGTATTTTTCAGAGTCTTCGCTGTATTTTTTTTTTTGTATGTAAAGTTGTTATTTTTCTGTCCTGTGATATAAATTTTCATATGTAACATTGTACCTTTTAGGAGTAAGCATTTGGTTTTTTATTTAGTTTTTAATAAAAACTGAATCTAAATATATAGAACCAATTTTATATACCAAAATGATAATGATTAATCAAATTAACCGAAATATTCGATTCAGTCAACTAATCAAGGGAAATATATAGATGTCAAGACCATTTTAGATCAGAGAAGCACAATAAAACATAGTTATAGCCATCAATTAATAATATTTTATTGTTCAAGATGGTTTCATATAAGAGAAGTATAATAAAAATTCAAATAAAGACTAACTAGTTGTTGGTTAAGGTGGTAAGTCAGAAGAGAACACAAGTTCGAATTTTGAGAAGTGTAATTGTTGGGAGAAATGAAAACCCTTTGTGCTCTAAACCTCGAAAAGAAAAACCACTTGATTAAATTAAAAAAAATTCAAATAAATTTTTTTTGTCACAATCAATAATTGATTTTGAACCCGAAAATATTACTATCCCGGAGGTACCATTGTCTTGATCCTCCAAGAACTCTCAAGCTAAATTAGAAAATTAAGACGCCCAATTTTCTATGGGTTAAATGATATTTTTTTTCTTTTTCATTTAATTTTATTTTGGGTTGGAGAGACTGAATTGAATTTTAGAATCTCATTGGCTTAAAAATTTATTAAGTCCAGGCATTTAGCTCAAATTTTCCCATATTAAAGCCCAATTCAGATTGCTTAATTAAACCGATGGATCAGAGGTGAATCAAACTCCTAATCCTGAAACATCATTTTGAGTTTTCTTTTTTTTAAAAAAAATAGCAATATATCATATTTATGTTTTACTAATCACGCTGTCTTGTTGACTTGTATATAAACTATATATGAATTTTTTATTTACTTGTGAATTAATATTATTCTTTTATTTCGCCTTGAAACCTAATTTGTTTGGAAAAAGGTCAGCTCCAATCTCTCAATCAAATAAGTTAATAGACTGGTGTGTTTAGATAAAACCAAACCATGGTTTGGAAAATAGATTTTGGAGAGAATAGATTTTATGAAAAAGTGATTCTGAGAAGTGAGAGTGTTTGGATAGTTGTTACCAGAAACACTTTTTATATGTGCAAATTACTAAAAAGGGCATAAATTAATATTATAATTATATAAGGGATAGATTTTATAATATATTTTGATTTGAAGAAATAAAATTGTTAATAAAATAATTTTTACTAACATAATTAATAATATATAAGATAATATAACTAATAAATAATTAATATGTGTATATATATTTATAAATTATAAGATTAAATAGTGAAGAACCGAGTGTAGAATGAGAGTCAGTCATTATGGGGGCTGCTTTGTCATATGTTGTTGGGCCCACATCAATGTCTGGAAAATTTGAGCCAGAAGCAACTTCAAACCACTTCTGCTGAAACCATGGTTTTGGGGTTCAAAACCATGGTTTTGGAGTTTAAAACCATGGTTTGACCCCCAAACCATGGTTTCACATTTCTCTCCCTGTTTGGCTGGTTTCTTCCCAAACCATGGTTTGGTTCTTCAAACCATGGTTTGGAGGGACATCCAAACTTAGTGACATAGAGTAAGGCCCTTAGCTATCAAACTTATTTGTTTATCAGGCTAAGCATATAAGATTTTTCTTCGTTTTAAATGTTATGTATAATAATTATGCAATAAATTTCGCCTTGATATATTATTACCTTATAAAAGACATATTACAAATGTCTAATACTTTGATAAAATTTACTTAGGAAGTGTTTGGGTGACCTCAGAAGCACTTCTCAGAAGCACTTTTCCGCAAATCGAGACAAACTCCTCTACATATTTACTTCACATACCGTAAAAACACTTTTAAAACCATGGTTTTATTTCTACTCAAACATCCTAATCTTCTTAAGTTATATAAAGAATTCCAGGGATATTGATATTGTATTCAACATGAACTTTCTAAGCAAAGTGAATTTTGATTATTCGTTATGATTAGTTTTCCTGATTTAATTTCAGAACAAATAGTGAGAAAAAAGAAGTTTGAACTGATAGATCTCAAGAATAATGGACATTAATATTAAGTCTTATTAGATATATGAGATGTACGTAGTACGTACTACTACTTTTTGCCATAGTGCCAAAGGAAAGAGCTTGCAAACCTTTTACAATGTATTTATAACTTGCACACTATACGATTAAATACCAGACTTCAGATGCGTTTTCTAACACATGCATTGCAGAATCAAACTTGTAAATGCACATATTTACAGAGGAGCTGAAACTTAAACTCACCTGTACAAGTCTAGCATCACATTGAACTGATGGAAGAAGATAAGGGAGGAATGCCTTGTTGATTAGTGAAAACATTATTGGGATCAATCAGAGTCTTGGCTTTAACCAGTCTATCATAGTTGCTCAAGAAGTACCTTTCACCCCAAACTCTGGCTTGTTCCCCTGCAGCCTTTGTGTTAATGGGTTCCACCATTATTCCAAGATCAAAGTCCAAGTAATTGATGTATGCAGCCCTAGGACCCCATGAAACAAATGAAGTCATAGAATCATAGAACTCTCTTATCCACTCAATATATTCACTGCTTCTGCCATCATCGGCTTCTTTCCAGTATATCAGGTACTGAATGGTGAAGAGATTGCCTTTTCTGTGAGGAAAAGCTATGGATTCACTGCTTATATTGTGCATCATCCCACCATAAGGGTCCAAAATGACATAACCTTTTGGCTCCTTCTCAAGTATGTTCAAAGCAGTTTCTATCCCCTCTAGAGGAATATGACTCCTCACAAAGTCTGATTTGGCCTTGAAATATTCCTTGTCTTGCATATACCTGTTCTTCAAGTCAGACACTGTGGCTCCATTTGTTAGGCCAGAGAAGAAAACTATAGACTCAATCCAACTCATTTCTTTGCAATCTTCTTCCTCAATACCCAGTTCAGGGAAAACCTGGTTTATAACAGAGATGGCCTTGTGCCTAGGACCCAGATAAAACCCTTTAAAAGTTGCAGATAATCCTTTAGATTTAGCTTCAGGCAAGCCTGCACCAACAAAGCATGAAAAATAATAGTCATCTTCCAATCTTGGTGCTACATATTGCCATTTATCAACTAGTTTCTGAAGATGATCTTTTGTGCCTGTTCTTGAGACTATGAAACTCGTTACAGTTTCTGGCACCTTTTGTAATTTGATCTTCCAGGCATATACAATCCCCCAAACACCACCCCCACCTCCTCTAATAGCCCAAAACACATCTTCTCCCATTTCTTGCCTGTTAAGTAAATTCCCATCAGCATCTATAATAAGTGCATCCACCACATTATCTGCTGCAAGCCCATATTTTCTTGACAAAAGCCCAAAACCACCTCCCCCAATATGCCCACCTACGCCCACGGTTGGGCATGACCCTGCTGAAAACCCGTGGGCCTTGCTGGCCAGAGATATTGCATAGTAGGTCTCTCCTAGGGTGGCCCCACCTTCGACCCACGCTATTTCAGCCTCCATATCCACCTGAACATGGTTCAGGTTCATGAGGTCAATGATGACAAATGGAGCTCCATCATTGGCCACAGAGGAAGTCCCTTCGTAGCTGTGTCCACCACATCTCACTCTGATGCCTACAGAGAATTCCCTACAACACACCACACTGCTCCTTAGCTGCTCCAAGCTCTCAGGCAGAACAATTGCTATAGGTTTTGGGATGTTAAGCTGTGCAAAGCGAAGGTTCTGGATGGAGAAGTTGAGGATTTTGAAGTAGTCAGCATCATAACTGTGAGTAGAGGATTGGTCAGGGAATCTGGTGAAGTTTTTGATGTTGTGATGGATCAAGCAAGATGTATAGTCTGGGATTGAAGAGGATAAAGAAAGAGAAAGAAACAGAGATAGCAAGAGGAGGAAGATTGGTGATGAGTTTCTCAGAATGATGAACATGGCTTAAGACTGTGAATGAATGGAAGAAGAAGACGAAGAAGCATAGAGTGTGGTGATGATGATGATGAAGCAAGCTAGCTATTCTGCAATTTTGCTAGTGAGGTCAAGTTTTATGGCTAAGACAAAACGATGCAGGAAACAAAGTGCAAATGGCAGGCCGGCCATAGTTTTAATATTGGAAACACAGAAGGTTATGAGATTGAACTTCTATATGATACCAAGGAACCAATCAAACTTCCCTAAAAGATGACAAATTTTTTATGGTTATTTGCACATGAATTAAATACAAAAAATGTGGGTGTAAAGTGATGTAAAGAAGAGCATAAGATTTTTAAAACATTTCTTATTTTGGATTGAATGATTTGATTTGAGATAAAGTGAGGTGATGAGTTCTGCATGAGACAGAGAGAAGCTACAGATTAGGATTTCTTCATTTTAATTACTAACAGACACAAATTTTGCCGGCGGGTTTAGAAACTTATTCCAATGGCCTGCTATGTTTGCTCTTGTCTGGAAGATATTCATGTCCCTAATTTTATTTTATATTTTACTTTTATCGTTTTAATTATTTTTTAAAAATTATTTAAACTTTTTCTATAAAAATTTGGAGAAATCAATCACTTGCTCCTTATAATCTTAAATCAGTTATAGCTAAGATTCTGAGCTTTTTTTGAATGAACTTAATTATTAACTAAGTCCCTCGACCTTAACTGAGTACAACCTCATTCATATAATTTCAACAATTATAAATATTAGTCCCTAAGTTTTAATAAATAAATTTTGTTCTTATAATTTTATTTTCTTAAAACGTAGAGACCAATATTTTAAATGATTAAAACTATATGAGCTTATTCACATTGAGTCAAAATTTATAGAACAAATTTTAATCAAATCAAAACTATAAAATTTGACTTAGAGTGAATGTTGAACTCTTAATCAAGTCAAAACTTTTATTAAATGATTAATATTTCTTAAAAATATTGTCATTTGATTCATTTCTCTAAAGTGCATAACAGAAAATTGTTACGCGGGTTCGATGGTTCATTAGTAAACTAAATTTGTTAGCTATTAGAGAAAGAATAAATGAACAAACCTAAATATGCATAGCCTAAACAAATATACATAGATGAAAACATAAAATAAAATTAGCGAACGAAATGGAAACTAAACAGCGTTAATGAACAAACATAAAATCGGCAAAAAAAATGAAGGAATTAATTTGAAATTAAATAAAGTTAATACAAAAAAATAAAATATAAAATGATATTATAAGGGACCAAAAGAATATTTTAACCATAATCAAGCCGGGTTAAGCATTAGCGACAAAACTCAAATTATGCTATGCTCATGTTTTGTCAAAGGAAATAAAATAACTTTAGCTAAACATATTAGAACTCTTTATTCTATTTTTAATTGATGATGCATTATGATAAAACCTAAGCATGTTAAAACAAGACAAAGTATAAAGGTAGGCCAAATTATTACGTAATTAGACTTTAATTTCATTCGTTTGTCTTTTCATGATCCGGATCATGTTAGGAAAAAGAATATAAAAACAGTATTGGATTAATCAAATTTTATTTAAAGTTTTTATTAATCCCTTATTTAGGACATACTAGAAGATAAAATATTTTTTTATAGACTTTATATTTTATAGAATAAAAAGAATATTTTATTTTTAGTTCTTTAATTCTAATACTGTTGACAAGGTATTGAGATCTTGAATATTAATAAAACATTCTCAAATGTTAATTTATTAAGTTTAATTTTTAAACAAACATAATTTTCTAAAAAATCATCATTTAAAACTAATAATTTTACAGTTAAAAGACTAAAAATATTTTTTTAAGTTAAAAGACCAAATTAAAATGTTATATAAATTTAAATGATTGAATATGTACTTTAACCTATTTTATATCGACACTTATATTTAACATTTAAAAAAATAAATTATAGTTAAAATGAAATTATAAAAATATGTAAATTATAAAATTATAAAACCGAAAATCCAAATTAATATTAGTATAAGACATAAAACTTAATTACAGAAATATGTATTATTTATAATTAAATAATTTAATTTATAGTTCACATTAAAAATATAGTGATATAAATAAAAATCAAAATCAAATAGAGAAAAAAAGTAAGAAAATTGCAGTGAGTCCTAACAAGGAAATTTTAATCACAAAGTTTTTTTATAACAAGCTAAGCTAGCAGCATGCAACAATAAGTTTCAATACAGAAAATGATAATAAGTTTATGCCATTTATAATTACATTTTTTTAGTACTTCATAATGAGATTTTTAAAAAAAATGTTATGGAAAATATCTGAACCGTAAGTTCATTAATTTATTGCATGAGCTGAAGACAAACAACGTGAGACAAGATATGGCCCTATCTCGTACTTGAGAATGAGCAAGCTCTTGAATCGCTTTCATTGCTTTTTCAAGGGAGCGTACCCGGGATGAACTTCCTACTAATATTTTGAGTTTTGTTGGAGTTTGTGTCAAAGAGCTCTGCCCATGTGGATGGTACTTTTTGTGGCCTCCAAGTTCTTTAGCAGCCACTTGGAGGTCCATCAAGCAGTATTGCAACCTTTTTGTCTTTTGATATTTTTTTACTCTATGATGGTTGCTTTCCGTTAATAAGCTATGTATGTCCTTGTGTTTGTTTAGTTACAGTTGCTTTTGTTCAGTCTTTGTTTTTCCAAGTTTATGTGGATGTTGCTACTTAATGCTATCTTGTGAGTTACTTGCTCAAGCACTAGCTTTGTTGCATGTTCACTGGCATTTCTTTGCCTTGGTTTTCATGCCAAATCCTTGCTTATTGGTGTATGCTGCCAGGGACTTTTGTAGTACACCTGGGGATACCTATGCCTGAGCTTTGACTCTTAGTGGTATAATTTGATGGCCTTTACTCCATACAATAGTTAGTGTAAATGATGCTTATGGTCATTGGGATTCTCTGGAGTGTCATTGATGGCAATGTCTTAGCTTGTGTGAGCCACAACTTGTATTTTGGTTTGAGTCTCTTTTGTTGACTTTGTATCATGAGGTCGATATTGCAAGAAATGTTACTGTATGTGTCTTTTATGTTTTTTTTCCCTCTACTTTTAGTTTTTTGTTTTGTGTTGTTGTTTTGTCTGTTATTTTCATGTTGCCGATGTTCTGGGCCGGCCTTCTCCTTTGGTTCATTTGGGCTTTGCACAAATTGACTGAATATGATTGGCAAGCTTTTTTTTGTACTCATTTTATTTTGTTATATAAAATTGTCTTTTTGTCAAAAAAAAATCTTGAATCGCTTTCCATCACAGCATTGTTTCAAAGTAGGGAGAGCCAAATTAATTAAAAAAGTCCAATGCATTTAATATAACTTTATTTAAAAAAAATTTTGGTTTGGCTTGTTTTGAGGTTGGAAAGACCAACCTCACATCTTCTTCTCCTGTTGGCATTATCCTGTTGGCATCTATCAATTGTTATCATATGTATATATATTCTCATTGAAATATTTTTATCTAATGTAAAGTAATTGAGATGAGAGTTGTGTAAAGAGTAGACCAAATTGGTAAATGTCTAACCCAAAATTTAGTATGATTTACACCAGACTAAACATAATTGTCCTTATCTTGTGGGACAAAATAATATTTGAAAAAATAGGGAAAATATTAAAAACAAAAAGACTAGAGTTTTTTTCCCCTAGGCACATATCTTATTGGAAGCAATCATGTTGGACGCAATGTTACGTTGTACACTAAATGTGAACATATCTTTTGATGAGAATTCTAATCTTAGTTCACTATGTTGTGAAAATATTAACTCCTTTTACCAAATTCAATTCCTATCGGTGACTAGACTAATTGGTTTTAAAAGCTAATTTGAAGTTTAATTTAGTCTAACCCCAATAGCCAACTTAGTTTGGTAAGTGGATACCAATGTTCAAATTAGTTTTTTTTTCAACTTCAAACCAAATCGAATTAGGTCAAACTAGACCAGGTCAATCAAGATTTTTTTACTTACTTGCACTCCCTTGGTTAATAAGGCTTTTTTTTTTTAAAAAAAAAAAAACTTTACTCTAGTCTAAATGCATGCAAAATAGACCATATTAAAGAAGGTAAGCAGGTGATTTTAAAATACTTTTATGAGCTTTTCTTTTTCAAAAAGAAAATGGCAATGAGTAGATACAAATACAGCAAGAGGTGATAAGAATAGGACCCAACCGCATGGGTAATCACTCTTATATCAATAAGGCACAATAACACACCCACCATGTTCCTTCTATCCAACAAGAAAGAGAAAAATCACCTCAGCATGTAGTGTGGTACATACTTGAAATGGTGAAATGTTCCTAACTAGTCCACCTGTATGGGGAACTGAACCCCACTTTTGAGGATGGTGACTTGAATTGCCCATTTTAAACTTAGAAAATCATGTTATTTTCATTCCAACTGCATATCTTGCCAGCTATCCATGTGTATGATATTATTAGGATTGGAGCCTATAATATCTCATTTTTTAATGTTCTAACCTCTTAATTATTTCTTTGGAATTTTTTCCTTCCGAGCTCCTAGATAAAATGAGAAATTTTCCAGTATTTTAAATGGCGTAATTTAGTTTTTTTTTTACGTTTTTCTCAAAAAAAAAAAACCCCAAATTTTGTAGTTTCCACTTATTTTCTTTAAAAAAATCATAAAAAAAACAAAATTACACTATTTATAGCTGCAAGATATCAGAATGTCCTTTACTTTATGTTAGAAGCTAAAAATCAAAATTAGAAAAAAAATAAAATTAAAAAAATTAAGACATTACAAGAAACATCATAAAAGCGAGATATCAGAGCTTAGGAGACCAACATAGAGAAAAACAAAGCACCGATCCATGGAGAAGGAGCAGGAGAGGAAGAAAAGGAAAGTAATATATCTCACCTCCAAATAACAACAGGCATGGAGCCCAGAGAAGACGCAAGGATGAATATCTCACTTCCTCAGCTTCAGCGTAGCCTTCTTCTTCTTCTTCTTCTTTGAC